GGGGGGGAGTGGAGAGGGATGCCCCTGCTCTGACGGTTGCCCTTCAAGGTTCCGCCCTGGACACCAGGAGCTTTTCTCTTCAGTGCAGACCCTTTGAAACCGGATCCCACCTCCCCAGCCATGGGTGAGGGCTCCTGGGGGCGAGGAAATGCCCTACTCAACCCTGGTACCTGGGCACTCGGCAGCCCAGCTCCTGTGACAGTGACCTCAGGGCCAGGCCCAGGGTACAGCACCAGCAACGCCAACTCCGGGGAGCTGATTTCTCCAGGTGGGGGCTCCTGGAACCTCAGCGAGGGTGTTGGCTCCCACGTCACTGCCGCCAGGACAATGGGGAAGGGGGACGCCTGAGCCACTGAGGCTGAGCCCTTCCTCCAAGTCTGTCCTGCAGCCCTGCAGGGAGCTCACCCCCACTAGGAGCCTTGGGGAACTAGTGGGAGAGGTTGGACATCCCTAGACACCAGGTGCAGGGCTTTGCCAGGACACAGGTGGCTGGAAGGACTGACATGGTCTTTGAGTTTGGGGATCTAGAGGGAGGCCCACAAGAATCACCTGGGCAGCCCCTTTCCCTGAAGTGGGTCTGAGACCAGTGGTGCCTGGGGACAGGCCACCTCCCACCCCAGGCTGCCTAGTGTGCAGAAGGGGCATTCCTCCACGGGACCTTTAGGATTGCTGGCCCCTTCCACGGGTTCCTTCCAGGATGGAGGGGCCGCCTTCCCCAGCAATGCAGGAGAGGAGATCTGGGAGCTGGGCACTGGGGACTCCCAACCCCCAGACATGGCAAAGATAAGAAAGGGCACACACCTCTCAGGCCACAGACCCATAGCCCAGCCTAAGGGAGCAGGGTCATCAGCAACTTCCCCAGGAGGCTGGGGTGTTACTGGGAGAATGGTAGTCACCATGTAATTTAAGTGGTGGTTGGGGACCAGAGTGGGGTCTCCCGCCCAGCCTGGGCCCCCACATACCTTCCTCCAGGTGCAGGATCACCAGCCGCCGCCCTCTGGGCTCTCCCAGCCACTCTTGAAGCCACCGCAGAGGAGGCAGGGCAGCATGCCCTTGGCTGGGGGTGCAGACCCCAAAGGTAGCTAGGTCATGGGGCCCCCAGTGGGCATGCCACACGGCTTCCAGGAAGGCCTGCTCATAGCCACTCAGGGCCCCCACCACCCGCAGTGGGGCACTGCTCCCGTTGCTGTCCCTGCCCAGCGTCATCAGGCACAGGGGATCCTGCAGGCTGCCTGGGAGCCAGACACCCGAGGGCGGCCAGTCCCAGTCTTGGTGGAAGATGAGACCTCTGGTGTCTGCAGGGGGCTCCCCAGGTAAGGCCTCTTCTCTGGGGGTCCTGGCCTTCAGCAGGGTCCCCATCGCCCACAGCACCAGGGCCAACCGAGAGAGAGGTGCAGCCCGCATCCTGGGAGTTGCAAGGGGCTGGGTTGCCCCTGCTTATATGGAGGGTGAGCCTGGGGTGTTTGTGCCGGAAGACAGACCCTATCTCCTTCTGGGATGTGACCTTGGGGGCCAGCACCCATGTCTGCTGCAAGCCTGGGCCTTCTCAAAGCCAATTCTGTTCCAGCCGGCCATCTCTATCTCCTTTCCACCAGTGATACAAAGTGAGGCCTGTGACTGATTTGTCCAGCTGTCCTTGATGAGAATTTCCCTTCGGAGAGGAGTGGGAATGCAAGCAGGGAGTGACTGGCCCAGATGGGCCAAACATCAACAGCTCTGGGGTCAGGACTATAGGAGGGCAGAGGGGCAGAGCCCCTGCCCTGGAGAACAGGCCAGTGTCCAGACCTGACTGGGGCTCAAATCTCCTGCCCATTTACCTGAGGACTCTCGGGAGCACAGGCAGCTTGGCCTGGAGAGCCTGAGGACAGCAGGGAACCTCTGCTTTGCTCTCCCTCCCCCAGACCTGCTGCTAAAGGGCAGTCTGTCCTCCACCCTGCAGTCTCCAGGACACAGCTGACACATCAGGGCACCCACCACCGTCCTGGTGGGCCACAGGGACTGAAAGCCTAACTCTGAGCTGCCCCTGCATGTGGTGGAGGAGCCCCTGCAGGAGAGTGAGTGCCACTATGCCCATCTGCCCCTCAGCCAACCCACCGACACAGCAGTACATCCAGGCGCCAGAGAGGCTTTTTAATGAGGTCTGGGGGGACAGCACAGCTCTATACAGAAACATCAAACTTTGCTCTGGGAGAAAATACAGGAAAACAGAAACGCAAACTTGCAGGAAGAGGGCATAGCTCTTCAGTTGGCTGGGGGAGGAGGTGGAATGCTCCCAGGGCCCTCTGAGGGCAGCGGGGGCCTCAGCATTGGGGGCATAGGAGCCGGGGGGTGGACCCCAGGATTGGAGGGGTGAACTCCTGGAGGCTGGGGGTGGACCCCAGGAGCTGGAGGATGAACCCCAGGAGGAGGGGGGTGGATCCCTGAAGTTGGGGGGTGGACCCCTGGAGCCTGGGGGTGAACTGCAGGAGCCGGTGGGTGTACCCCTGGGGCCTGTGGGTGGACTCCAGCAGATGGAGGAGGGTGGACCCCTGGGGCTGGAGGATGGACACCTGGAGCTGGAGGGTGGACCCCAGGAGCAGGAGGATGGACCCCAGATGTTGGTGGGTGGACCACTGGTGCTGGGGGATGGACCCCAGATGTTGGTGGGTGGACCACTGGTGCTGGCGGGTGGATCCCAGGAGCTGGGGGTGGCAGCTGGGGAGGGCCTGGGGGTCCTGAGGGTGCAGGCCCACTGGGTGGCATGGGGGGCAGAGGCAGGCCTCCTGGAGGGGGTGGGGGCAAAGACTCAGGCAGTGGCGGCCGTGGGGGCAAACCATTCATCAGTGGGGGTGGTGGCCGCTTCACCCCAGGAGGCCCGGCAGGGAGACTCGGCGGGGCCGGAGGCTTCTCCATCTTGAAGTGAAACTGGAGAAAGAACTGGAGAGGAAGGGAAGAGCTGAGTAGGGCTCCTCAGGGCCTTGTGTTGGGGGACAGGCTTGCCAGGGCAGTGGCTAGAAGGTCCTGGAGCTGCCCAGACCTGGAGCGACTTACCTGCTTGGTTTCCCGGTTCCAGTGAGTCCAAAACTTGCCCTCGGCCTTGTCAATCTCCCTGCTTGGCACCTGCGCAGCGGAGGGGCTGGAGACAGGCCTTAAAAAACCCCCAAGGGCCCAGGTTTGGGCAGAGACTGCTCCTCAGCCCTGGAGATGGCCCAGTCCGAACACACCCTTGTGAAATGCTAGGGCTCAGTTTTTTTGGGTAGCAGGTGTGGCTTACATTCTAGCTCTGCGCTTAGCGACCCCACCGCCCCAGGGAAAACATGGTTTGCGCTGTGTTGTTCACCGTTGTCTGCCAGGACACAGGATGCAGTCACAGAATCCCTGACCAGCTCAGCACAGAGGCTTGTCATTGCTGAACATGCGGGGGTTCTGCTCTTGGCGGGCACCACCTTGGGACACCCCTTCCCACCCTATAGGCAAGGCCTTATCAGGAAGGGGCACCTTGAGTGGGCGGGGCTAAGGGATAGGGGCAGGGACTAGCACACGCTACCTTGAAGGCAATGGTCTCATAGGGCTCGGCAGCCATCAGCAGGTACTGCCACCGCCGATCAGGGGGCTCGATCCTCTGCTCGTAGGCTGACATAAAGCGGTGGCGCGGCATGATGCCCTCAGCGATCTCGGGGTAGTCGATCTGCGGGGACATGGCCAGGTGGCAGCACAGCCTTCCGGAGCCCCTTCCCTCACAACCAGGCCCCTCATCTCACCTGGAAAAGAAGGCTCTGCTGGCCCATCTCCGTGTCCCTCTGCTTGGTCACTGCAACACACGAGGGTCTCAGGTCCAGGCCGGCTCGTTGCCCTCCCAAACTAAGGACCCATTAACGGAGGGTGGGACACTGGGGGAGGTTACCTGGCTGGAGGGCACCGCCCAGGCCTGGGAGGGCTCTGTGCTGCAGGCACCGCCTGCTCAAGTCCACAAGGGTGGCGGTGGGAGAACGGACATTGTTACCCTCACCCAAGGCCTGGGACAGCACTGAGGACCGCGCACTGGGGGTGGGGGTCTAGTGAGGCCTGCACCCCTTCCTCCTGGAGAGGGTGCCCTTTGCATCAGAGCTCCTGGGACTTCCAGACCATTCTCCGCACAGCTCCCAGGCATGTCACACTCCTCTTTAAGCCCTCCAACATCCCCCAGCTATACTCAGGACAGGGACCAGACAGCCTATTATGGCCAAAAGGCCTCTGGTGGCTGAGCACTTGGATCCTGACACTCCCGCCCTCATTCGGCAAGCTGGCCTGCCCCAGGGCCTTTGCGTGCTATGTCCCGTCTGCAAAGCCAGTCACCCACAAGACACCCCCACCTTTTGTTAGAACACAGTCCCTTGTGTTCCAGCTGGGTCACATATCTGGCTTTTCGGCTCAGGTAACTCAGAGCCCTCCTCTATGCCAATGGTCCCACCGAGTAAGCTGCTGCTAACAGACCCTCACTCTCCCACTCTACTTTTGGTCCAGATTAAAAGGAGCCAAGCTCCAAGCTCACAGGAGAAGGACACATCAGGCTTGCTGTCCCTCCCACCCTTCACTCATCTTCCCAGGAATGTGAAGAATTATGAGCTCCCACGACACTGACGCGCACAAGGGACGCTGTGCTCAGCAGTTGTGCTTGGAGACAGGATCACGTCAGGAAGGTGGGACAGGGCCCAGGTGGGTGGGCGAGTGAAGGCCAGTGAACAGCATTATCTGTGTGGCTCAGGGATGGGTCACTCCCACTGGTGTCAGCTGTGGCATCCCCACTCCCCAAATAGACTTACCTTTGTAGCCCGGGCGGCCAATCTTCACAAATTTCTTCACCTCTACCTTGACCTTCTCTGGCGCCGGCTGGGCTGGGGCCTCTTTGGCCTCCTTGGCAGCTCGCCGGGCCCTGCAGGTGGGATGAACACGGCACTGTGGTCCCTACACACACACACACGCCACCAAGGCCACAGGCCCCAGTGCCAGGAGCTACCCTGCCCCTGCACGACCTTGGAGTGCCTTTGCTAGGTGAGGGGGTTAGGAGGGGGCTGGGTGGGGATGGGACAGGCAAGGGCACCTTTCTCTTCTTGTCACATTTCCCAATGTCCCTTACTAGGGAGCCTTCGGAGAATCCTACCTGTCTCCTCTTCATTTATAAAACCCTCACTCTTGCCGAGTGAGAGGTGCATCCCGTCATTCTCCTCACACCTAGGCAACTGCACCGCCCACACCCCCATGCTCGGAAAAGCTCAGTGCTCTGACTACAGGCCAGGCTGGCCCCAGACCACCTCTGCGCCATCATCTGGTGTGGCTCACAGATGCTAGGGAAGCACCAGCTTCTGACCCTGGGTGTGGGAGTGACATACTCACAAGTTGGTCTGGTGCTTTTTCCCCTGGGTGTGCGCGAGGTAGCTCCCCTGGAGTGGGAACACAGGGGCACAGTTCAGGAAAAAGTGAGCGGGATGGGCCTGGTGTCGCGCGTGCCCACTGGGAGCAGGGCCCCAGTGTCCACAATGCAGAAAGGATATTCATGGATATGAATATCCTGACATTCAAGGATATTCAATGGTGCACTGTCCATGGTTGTAAATAAATTCTAAAACAAAGCGGACGTCTGACAACATGGGAAAGGACAAACGGGGCCTGCTCATTACTGCCTGGTGAGCACTTGTCAGTCTATCATGTGGACAACCAAATGGTTATTAAATAAAATGAACAGAAGCCATACCATGAGACCTCAAACCCCAATGTAGAACTTTCCAAAAATGCCCCATGCTCACAGACGCACATCTGTGTGGCAACGGTACCAACAGTATTAAAGGAAAATGTGCGAGCAGCAAATGCATAGCAGTGGTGACCTCCGGGGGCTGGGAGCGCTGGTCAGAGGTTGGGGACAAAGGGGCTTGGCCTTCACATGGAGTGACCAGCGGGTCCCAGTCAGAGCCCCTTCGCCATTCGGCAGCATTCTGAACGACGAGTCAGGTTAACAAGAGCCAAGAGAATTGGGGCGGGGGGTGGGGGGCAGGACGGGACAGCGTTTCCTGCTGGCTGGGCCTGGGGACGCGTGGGGAGCAGTGCTGAGAATTCACCTCGTTGTTGTGCAGCGTCAGGCACAGCTTGCATTCGTATGAACCCAGGTGATTCTTCATGAAGTAAGGGTCCTGGGGACGGAGGCACAGCCGGTTAGACCATGGGAGATGGCACCCTGTGGCCCCGCAGCCCTGTCTGCGCGGGACCGAGGACTAGGAAAAGCCTAGGGCTGGCCTGGCAGGGTACTCCCAGGGCAGCACTACAGGACCACCTGGGGCCCTGTGGATATGGGGTCTACTCGGCAGGGCTGGAGTTGACACTGCTGGTCCCTGGCCCCCCCCTTAGTAGTGGGTATCTCTGGGGAGTCCCTGGCCCCACATTTGTGGCAGTTTGGGGTCTAGGAGGCAGGGCCCAAACAGCATTGCTTTCCATCTGGCCAAACAGTACTGGCCATCCATCTCTCCGGCCTGGGATCTGGCAGCAAACCCCACCAGCTTTCCCAAGTGTTGCAGCACAGGCCGGATAAGTAAGAGGATTAAAGGAAAGACCATGGAGACCCATGTCTCTGCAAGTCCTGTGGGCTGGACAGCTGACTGTCCATAAACTGAGGCACCGGGGGCAGGTGTGGAGCAGACTGACTGGCAGGGCTGAATCCTAACCCCACTGGACAATGGCTGTGTCATCTTTGGCAATGACGATCCCTCCCTTTGCATGACTGTTTTCCTCACCTGGAAAACGGGGACAGTAACAGAACCGGCCTCACAGGCAAGGGCCCACATACCTCGGAGGGTTTCAAAGTCGAAGGGAACCACACACTGACCACTGGGCTCTCACCTGGGCCACTGAGCCCCAGGGGCCACTGGGGGACATCTGTGGTTATCACACTGGGAGTGCTTCTGGCATTGAGTGGGTGGGGGCAGGCATGCTGCTCAACACCCTGCAGTGCCGATAATGGCCCCCAGAGGATGAGCGCCCCCGCTGTCAGCAGTGTGTGGGCAGGGGAGGCTTGGTCTACCAACAGCTCTGTGCAGCTAAACAAACATCTGCTCTTCACTGCCTGTGGCTGGAATGGTACCAACCCACATGATGCCATCATGGCCCTCACCACTGCTTCCCCACGCCACTGGGTAATTAAACATGACCAAACCCCTTACACAGAGAAAAACCCTTCAAATGTGGGGTCACTGACAGCTGGTGGTCTTGGGTGGGCAGTGGAGACCTGCTAGATCAAGTTCCCTTGTTTACAGATGAGGAACCTGTGGCCCATAGATCTGGGTGGCTGCTCAGGGGTAGAGGGCATGACATCTGGAACGTGGCTCCCTGGTGAGAAGGGAGGTGGTGGGGAGCCCCCTCCAGCCCTACCTCACCTTGTTGATATCAATGGTCTCCAGGGCTAGCTGCCGGAGGCGCTCCCTGCGGTCCCGGTTGCTCTCCGAGGAGGAGGCCACCCCTCCACTCCCGGTCTTGCCCCCGGGGCGATGCTGGAAGTCCATGGTGAGGGCCTTGGGGTTTTATCAGACTGGGGAGAAACCTGGAGAACAAAGGGGAGAAGCAGTGAGCTTGCAGAACCTGGTGGCTGTCACTGGGGCCTCCCCGGGACTGGTGGATGGGCAGCCAAGGGGACCATTCCTCCCACGTTTGCCCCTCCTCCCATACTCCTGCTGCCCCTCCCCCCCATCCCCTCATCCCTCGATCCTAAATGGCCAGATAAGCTCCTAGGTTGCCAGTGGCTGGCTGGGGTTGGGAAAAGCCCCTGTCCAGAAAGTCTGATTGACTTAGGGAAATACAAACCCATGTAAATACTCAACCGCTCACCAATTATTATTATTATTTTAAAGACTTTTATTGGGGAATTGGGTGATGGGAACAGCGCTGGGGAATTGGGGGAAGGAGAACAGACAAGTTGCTTTCCTTTGTTCTTCAGTCTAGCTGTGGAGGACGTTGCTTCACTGGCCCAAGTTGGCACCATCATTGCGCTTTTCCTGGGCGAGGCAGATCAGTCGCCGGCTTCTGGATGGCCGCTCATGGCGGCTGCTGGCTACACATGGGTAGCCCATGGCAACCCACTGCAGCAGGGGCTGCAGCCTACACCGTCGTTGGTGTCTCACAGGCAGCCCAGTTCCAGGCTGAGCTGTTGTTCAGCATCTTAGCTGTGGAGGGCAGTGTCACTGGTCCTCATATGTGGGATCCGAACGGGGGGCCCTCTGGTGTCCCAAGCCAGCTCTTAACCAATGGCCCTCTGGTGTCCCAAGCCAGCTCTTAACCAATGCGCCACTCGGCCGGCCCCGCTCACCAATTAGGGTAAAACCAGTAACCCATTGAAAACCGAAACCGAAACTGCTGGTTACTTGAAGCCCACTGCACATGTGTTGTCCCTCCCCTAGCAGTACCCCTATCCCGAATGAACCAAGAGCTCACAGCCTGGGATGAAGGTCTCTGCACAGGTACCTGGGCTCCTGGGCAGATCAATTTGAATCTCAGAACTGGAATGAGGGGCCTCTGGGCTGAGAGAGGCAGGCACAGAGAGGCTGTGGGTGAGGGCCAGGTTGAAGAGGGTGTTTCATCAAAAGCTGCCCACTGACCAGCAGGCAGTGTGCCCCTCCCTACACCATGTCCAAAAGCAGGTGGCCCAGCTCAGAGGCCCCCAGCTCAGGGGGTACTTCAGGAGACTTTTCTGGGGAAGGAGCACCAGGGGCACCAGGAAAAGTATTCTCAGACATTGACAAATGGGGTGCCTCATGCCCCAAAGAAAACGCCAGCTCCTTGCCAGGCCTATTGGGCAGTGAGACTCACCAGATAAGAAGCATGGCTCTCACACACAGAGCTGGCAACTTCACATAACAGACACGAAGAATCACCACAGCTGAGAAAAAAATAAACCTGATGGGAAACAATAGACGATGACAACACCTTCCCAAGGGTTAGCAGGGGGAATTAAAACCGGAACAAACTCTTGGAAAGTAAAAAAAGAGGTGATCCAAACAAAAAAGTTAATACGAGGTCTTGGAGGTAAGAATCAAAGAAATCTCTCATAAGGAAAACAAAAGAAAACACATGAGGCAGTGCAAGAACCTTGATGAAATTCCAGAGAGAAAACAAAAAGAAACACAGAGTATTATCAAAGAAGTAAACATTATCAAAGAGCTAGCACAAAACCATGATCAAAAAACTAAAAGAAAATGTCCTGGGACTGAAAGGATCCATTTTTTCCAATAGAAACAAATAGACTCAATAAATGGATCACGAAACTTCACCGCAATGAGGCAAATCTTCCATTTGCACAGACAAAAGATCAGAAGCGAAAGGTCAGAAAGCAGAATGGGGCTAGAGCTCTCAGAACTGAGCATATAAGAGAAGCAATACTCCCACAGTTCTCAATGGGGATTTGCAACCCAGAATTTTCATTTTATACCCAAACTGTGAGTGTAAATAAAGCCATTTTCAGATAACCAAGGACTCAAAATCAATCAATCCATCAATCAATGTCTTCAAAACCTATCCTGCGATGGGCTGACAGGAGGAAGAGGAGATAGACTGAAAACAAGCCAACCCAGGAAAGCACTGACAGAAAGTTCTAGGACAACTGCTTCTCTGTAAGGTGAGCAACCAGAACAAAGTGAAACAAGAGTATGTCAGCATCTGGGAGGGACACTTCTATGGGGGAAATTTAAAAAACAACAACAAAAAACCCAATTCGTTTAAACCTGTGGGAAAATACAGTCTACCACCGTTTGAGGTGCTGGAACTTTGTGGAAAAATTAACAGGAGGAAAAGAAAATCAGGCTAACAGGAAAAATGAAGACATGAATTAGCTTCGGGGTAGGGGAGAACAGTACAGGAAAAGCAGCAGAGATGAACATGTTACTTGCCTTAGCAACGAAGAATATTTTCGAAAGTCTCAGAACACAGAACAAACGATTTGACTAAAGTTCGTGATATATAATCCTATCCAGGGTAGCAGGGTGAAGCGGGAGTAGGTGGGAGGCAGAAATAAGACCTCATCAATCACGTAATAAGTCAGCAGGTCGCGTCTGAAACCAGCACACCCAGAAAAAAATTGTTGACAAAGGTAAAGATGGCTTTAAGAACTGAGAAGAGGCGGCCTCTGGGGCGGAGGACGAGCAGGGATGAATAACAGCATTTGATGAACATGCTATTATCTCCTTAAACCTGGCAAACAGTTCATTATCGGGAGCTCCTGTCGCACGTTCTGCGAGGCCAATGGGCAGGAGAGAGAAGCAGACAAGGCATCGCAGTCTGACTGGTGGGAAAGTCATTTAACCTCGGGGCTTTGCTGGCGAAATGCGGCCGGCTGACTCTGGTGGCCTTCGGCGCGGCGCTAGGCACTCTGCTCCCAGGACCTTACTTATTACTTAGTTGTTCTGGAACCGGTGATCGCTGTTACCCCCATTCCAGTTAAACAAACTGAGGCTCCGAGGGACCGAGTGACTCCCGGACCTCAAAGCCTGTCAACTAACGGAAATTAATGCTCAGAGGGGTCCTCGGTTACACGGAAAGCGCCATGTGAGCTGCTACCTTGACCCAATCCCAATGGGTCTTTGGAGACTACCAAGCAAGCGGAGGGCTCCGGGGACACAAAGGCCCGACATTCCCCGGGGAGGGGGCGACGCAGCGGCCCGCCCTCAGCCTGCGCCCCCGTCGCAGGCGCCCCTCGCTCACGTCTGCAATCTCCTTGGGAACTCCGGGCTCTGGAGCCGCCGCTCTCGCTCCGCTTTCCACCTGCACCAGAGGCAACAGTCCCGTCGCCTTTTCAGCCTCCACTGCCACTACGATGTCGTCCTCCGTACGCGCTCAGCGGACTAAGAATGCACTTCCGGGGCAAACGGGGCGGGGCCTCCCATGTGCGCATGTCCGGCCCACCCAGCAGCCGGAACGAGAAGTTCCATAGGTGAGAAGAAAGGGGGCTGGGCTGAGAGTGCAGGCCGGAAGCTGAAGTGCGCATGCCCACCAGGCTCTTAGCGACCTCTCGGTTGCTTGTACTCGCGCGTGTCAGTTCTCGCGGGAAAGAGGGCTGCGACTCGTCCCCTGTTCTTGTCCATTTCAGTTAAGGGCGCTGCCAGTCCTAGGGGTGCTTTATTTTTTTTTTTTACCCGGGGCCTAACATTGCATGACACATATAACAACAGTCTGCCTCGACCATTATCCGTGCGTTCCACGAGGGCTCCACTGGGTCCCTGTGGACCCCGGAACTCCAGCGTCGCTCGCCGGTGATTGACAGGATGGACAGCCCTGGGGGCGCGCCGGCGCAGTAGCTCTGGGAGAGCTTCCGGGACGGTGCCCTGGGACATTTTTGGCGCGAGCGGGGACGACGGCCGGTTGGGTGTGGCCCGTACTCCACATTCTGGGTCTTGGGGCGCCATGCGCTACAACGAGAAGGAGCTGCAGGCGCTGTCTCGGCAGCCGGCCGAGCTCGCAGCCGAGCTGGGCATGCGGGGCCCCAAGAAAGGCAGCGGTGAGCGGGCCGGGGGCCGGGGGCCGGGGGGCCGCAACGGGCGGGCCGCGGCGGGGTGGGCGGCCGCCGAGCCTTTGCGAGCCCACCCTGTGTCCGCAGTGGTGAAGCGGCGGCTGGTGAAGCTGGTTGTTAATTTCCTCTTCTACTTCCGGACGGATGAGGCCGAGGTAGGGCGGCGGGGAGGCGGGCCCCGGGCTAGGGGCTGAGGGCTGAGGGCTGGGTCCTAGGGTCTTAGGATGGCCCGCGCATTCGTCCCATCTGTCCCCAGCCCGTCGGAGCCCTGCTGCTGGAGCACTGTAGAGTCACCCAGGAAGAGCCCAGCGACTTCTCCATCTGTGAGTGCGGGGAGTGGGGCCAGGCCAGTCATGTCTTCCAGCACCGACCTGCCTCTCCCCAGGAACAAAGTTTGCTGTTCGGGGCAGGGCTGGGCTCCTTCCCTGTGGGCTGTGCGTACCCGTCCCAGCCACTCCCTAGCTGACACCCTGAAGGTCAAGAGGACATTCTCTTGTCTTGCGGAGTATTGTTCTCTGGGGTGCCTTGCTGTTTTACCCGTTCTCTGTGCTGGGGACCCCGGAGGATTCTCCTGGGTCTCCTTGAGAGGGTTGAGTTTTAAGGGAAAGCCGGAGCTTCAAGTTTCCTGGGGTTGCCACAGACTGGGGAGCTTCAGCAGTAGAAACTTACTTCTCCCTGTGCTGGAGGGCAGAAGTTCCAGGTTAGGGTGTCAGCAGAACTGGTTAATTCTGAGGATAATTTGTCCCAGGCTCTCCCAGTTTCTGGAAGCTATTGGCAGCCTCTGGCGCTCCTTGGCTTATAGAAGCATCACCCCTCTCTGCCTTCATTGTCCGGGGCCTTTTCTTTGTGTGTCTTTGTCAATTCCCCCTTTTTATGAGGATACCAGTTCTATTGGATTAGGAGTCCATCCATCTCCATTGTGACCTCACCTGAACTAATTATACCTGCAATGATCTTATATCCACATAGGGCCCTGTTCCCAGATTCCAGGAGCTAGGCCTTGAACATACCCTTTTTGGGGGACACAGTTCAACCCACAGCTGTGGTGGGAAGCGATAAGCCCGGGCCGGGAGAGGGGATAGCTGTGGACAGTGGCAACAGGAAGCTGAAGCCTGTGGTCGGTGGGGGTGGGAGTGAGCAGGACAGATGGGGCCCCTCCCTCTGCAGGCTTCATCGAGGACCCGGAGAGGAAGTACTACTTTGAGTGCTGTAGCGAGGAGCAGTGTCAGGAGTGGATGGGGGCTCTTCGTCGAGCCAGGTGGGGCATGGGCGGCCCGGGGAGCCTGGGGTGGAGGTAGAGCCGGCCCTCTGAGCACAGGCCACTTTCTTCCCCAGCTACGAGTTCATGCGCAGGAGCCTCATCTTTTATAGAAACGAGATCCAGAAGATGACCGGCAAGGTGGGCATGGGGCACATGGCACAGGAGGGGGCTGACTCGTGGGCTGGGGCTCATGCTGCGCTATCCACCCCACAGGACCCCCTGGAGCAGTTCGGCATATCAGAGGAGGCCCGGTTCCAGCTGAGCGGCTAGAAGGCATTAGTCTGGTTTCAGGCTCCTCAGCTTTACTCACCGGTGCTGAAAGGAGTCCCCTGCCCCACATCCTGGCCGGGGCCTGGGCTTCCTCCTCAAGCCTGGATTTGTGGAACGAGGTGTTTTGGCTTAGAGACTTCGAAAGCCCCAGGCTGCTGAGGGTGGTCAGGGGCTGTGCCTTGGGACCCACCAGACTTATCTGGCACCTCTTGGTGCCACATGCTGCTGCCAGCGAATGAGTGTCCACTCCCAGGAGCTGTGCCTGGTCCCTTGGACACATCTATCCAGGGCCTGACGAGTGTCTGAGGCCAGCGCAGCACAGGCTGGATGTATGAAGCTAGATGATGCTGTGTAGGGCCACGGGGCTGTGCCTCCTGGGCTATGAATTCTGCTGAGAGCCAGGCCCTGGCTGGATGCCTCTGGGCAGAGCTGGGAGCGTTTGCCTTTGGGCTGGTGTGCTTATTTTATTCAAATAAAGGTACCTCTTTTCCACATGGGTTGGTGGTGCAGAGGAACACGTGCCCACCACAGGCCCGTGGAGCTGGCTCCTGAAGGAAATAAGCCTCTTGGGGGACGGGTCTTCAACAGGCCTGAGGTTTAAGTGCCTGGGAAGAAGGGGCTGGGCTGCCCAAATGGGGAGGAGACCAATAACCCAGGAAAGTCAGGGAGGCTAGGAGCCCGGCCCACGGGGCCTCTGGTGCTCACAGGCCCTAAGGTGGGATGGAGGCGGGGATGTGATGGGATTCTCAGGTGGCCCTTGATCCCACCCCTTGTCACAGGCCTTCCCCTTGAGTGCACGTGGGACCTCAGGAAGGGTTTTGCCCATGTCTGAGTCCTAGTGAAGTTGGTTTTTTAGTTCATCAAAAGGGCTGTCCTTCGGGTGCCGGACCTAGTCAGGTGTAAGCCCGGTAGGGGCTGGGCCTCTCTGAGGTGGGTGCTCGCTGTCTGCCACAGTCACAGCAGCTGCTTTGAGGAGCATGTGGGGACTCTGTTGGGAGTGACCATCCTTTACACCTGGGGCCCTCAAGGCTATGGTCTCACCATGTGATAACCAGGAAGAAATTCCAATAGACCAGGTTGACGTGAAAAGTCTTTTATTACAGTTTAGAGATGGAAATCAGACTGCAGTGGGGTTCCCTCAGGGAAAGAAGGCCACACCAGCACCCCCAACTGAAACAGTCTATTAGAACCACAAAGCAGGCAGGGCCCCAACTGAGTTAATAGTCAAGGTTGAGGCTGAATGGGAATCATGGCGGGGTGGGGTGGGGTATGAACAAGAAACAGCCTCCTACAGCAAGTGGCGCGGATAAATAAAGGGGTGAGTGGGTCTTAAATAAGTTACAAGTCATAGCTGAAAGGAAGTCTGGCTCCTCCTGACCGGGAGGGTCGTCCAAGTTAGGTTTCCTGAGCAAAGTGCCCTTGCAGCCCTGGGCTTCCCTGAAGTTGCCCATGGTCACAGAAGCACTGGGTCTCTGCACAGAGACCAGACCCCACTCCTCATGGGGCCTAATGGCCTTCCCTCCCTGGCGGCCAAGAGTGGCCGATCGATCTCCCAGTCAGGAGGGTATGGGGGCTCAGAGGGTGGGCACAGAAAGACCCCCAGTGCTAACTACTGTGGGCAGATAGGGCGTGTCAGTAGGAAGTCCCCCACGGTGGCCGATGGTCACGCAGAAGGGATGCAGTGTTGAGTACAGGGTTGCTTGGTGCCAGACCAGGGGCTCGCCATGTACTGTGACTGCTGTTGTCAGCCTTGCAGCTTTTTTAGGGGGCCTTGTGCTCCTGATGAGGGAGGATGTGGGGTTTGGGGTGAACACAGCACCTTCGTGCACTGACCAGGAGGGAAGGGAGCCAGGGCAGCTGGTTCCAAGAACCTGACCGAGCACCATCTTCAGCCTGGATTTGCTCTGGGCCAGGCACCACCTCAGGTTATACAGGAGGCAGGGTCTCCCAGGCGTCCCCCCCACTCCCATCAGCCAAGGCCTGCCTTGCCCCCAAGGATCAGGAGGGAGTGGCTCCCACACCAACCCTCCCAGGCAGGGGCCTGGCAGAAGCCCCTGTTGGCCAGGCTGGGGAATGTGGAGCTCAGGCCTTTAATCCAAGAACAGGTCAAATTCCTATGCACAGCCCTACCTTTAGAAAGAGGACTTTCTTTGTTCCTTGGGGAGGGTGGGAGGGTATCACCTCCTGGGGGCAAGCACCTGAGGCCCAGGCTCTGACTGCACCTGCCCAGCCCTTTCTGGAGCTCCCACAATGGGGTCCTGAGGGCTTCTGGACTCGCTTTTTCAGGGACTCTACAGACAACAGATCCAGAACTAGTTAGAGATGGCTGTGCTGGAGGGACCCAAGAACCTTGCTGGCAACCCTGGAAGCATCAGCAACAGCTCTCCTGCCTTCCTGCGAAGCCTGCCTCTGCCCTTCCCGCACACCCCCGGGCACGAGTTCCCAAGCACCATGGAGGCTACTCCAGTGGGGACAGGTGTCACCCCAGCTGCGGGGTTGGAAGGCCAGTGGAAACATGGAGCAGTGGCATGGGCTGACCAGAGGGACAAGGGGTGCTCTGGCCCTGGGCCAATGCCACTTGTGTGCACTTGAATAAATAAAAAAGTCTCCCCCCTCACTTTTCTTTCTCCCTTTTAAGTTTACTGTGCATTATACAATCTAAAAATAAATGAAGTCAAGTCTATGAAATTTATAAATTTTCATCACATCTCTATAAAATACTGTCACTCGTCAGCGTGACTCTTCTGTACAGACACACCAGGCACCCACGGCTAACCTGCCACATGCCCCGGCCAGCCACCTCAGGCTGGCTACACGCCTCACTGGGCTGTGCAAGCCCAAGTCCAAGACGCATGTACAAAGTAAAGCACTTGTTTCCCAGCAGCCCGGCAATGGGGCAGATACCAGACCCCCCACAAGCACCATTCACAGCAGCCTCCTCCCGCAGCATCAGGACGCCCTGCGGCCCACCCGCGTTCCCACACCATAGGCGCTGTCCCAGGACCCAGGGCTGACAGTCTGGCCGGAGTGTTCACAGTGATGGGGGGAGAGGGCTTTTTCTGAGGGACATTAGAAACCGAGTGAACCACCTTCGACCTGAAGACAGGCGTGCCTTTGGTACGGGAGAGTGTGGGATGACGGGAAGGGTGCAGCAAGGGCTGGTTTTGGCGTTGGTCAACCTCGAGTCAGCACCAAGAGAACGTGGAGGCGGTGAGGCCTGGCGGCGAGATAGCACCGGGCCCGGCTGTCAGGGTCTCCGCTGGCGGGCCAGTCCGTCGGGTCAATGTCTTTATATAGATCCTCTCATATATAGTATTTACATTTCTCAATAGGTTGCCTTTATGACTTCGGTGGAATAAAATAAGTCAAAATTGTTTATACATTTTAAAAAATGATAAATACTTTATCTAAAACTATCAACAGTACAAGCTGGAGCCAGGTCCAGCATCTCCTGCATGTCTGTGCAGCATGGACTCACGGCACAGCTTCGTCCTCAGTCCGTCCTGCTGTCCGGTGGTTAGCCGCTGTTCCTGTGGCCCACCTGTCCTCACACAGGTGTCGCGGTTGAGGTAGAAATCCTAGTTACCTGCAGAGACCGGCGCAGGAGGAAAGGCAGCACAGAGTTAGTGTTTCACTCAGAGAAGCCCACATGTCCCCAGGCTGGGGAACCAAAGCCTACAGATGGATGGACAGACAGGACGCGATCATCGCAGTCACCCTCATGCCATGCCCCTGGCCCAGAGGTGGGAGGTCACCGTCCCAAGGCCCTCATGGGGCTCTGGTTCCTGGCCTCCCCCCCTCCCTGGGAACCTTGGAATGGAGACCCTCTCTGGTCACCACAGGCTAGGCACTGCTCATGGGGGTCCTGACAAGCCTGCATACCCCTAAGTGAGGTGTTGCTGTGCAGCCCAGGGAGACTTATTATGGACGGATAGAAGGCAGGTGTCCACTGCAGGCCAAAATGGGGAGCCTGACGCCCAGACGCAGGTGTACACCCCTGACCTCTTCCAGGCAGTCCTGGCCACAGCACCTTCTCTGATGGCAAGAGGCCACTGTGAGCTACAGCCAACCTACCTTCCAGGCTTTTCCAATAGGACCAAGGCACAGCCCACTAGACCCGAGCCCTGACTGGGAGGCTGTCAGACTCCTGTGACCTAATGTCTATTTCCACTTAAACACATGCAAAAGGCTGAGAACAGCAGGCACACCTTGCGCCTGGCCTGCAGTGCCTGGTCAGCACCCGGCTTTTGTTCCTCAAGCACTTGCCTGTAGGTGGTAGTCTTGCTTGGGAAAGCCCTCACCCCAGGGGATGCTAAGGCGGCACCAGCATTGGCTGGGTCAGCTGCTCCAGGGCTCAGCTCCCTAAAGCCCTCACAGACAGCAGAGGAGCAAACTGGGATCCTCCCCGAAGGCCTCATGGCCACCTTCCTCATCCCATTCCCAAAGATGGGCCCTTCCTACACTGCTCTCCACTGACTCCACAATGACATGCAAAATGCACTGGTCCAGTTCCCTGGAAGCCGGAGGAGCACTACCCATCTGTCAGACAGCCCTTCATGCTGCCTATCAGTCCCGGGGTGTATGTCGGTGGGGCCTTCCAGCAAGGACCTCTAGCCAAAGAGCACAACGTACAGCTTTCTTCTGAAGTCTCACTTAGTACCAGGGGCCTTAAATGCTCTGGATTTTCCTAAAACCCTACAAGGTGCATTCAAGTAAACAGGGTGTGAGAGGCCCAGGAGTAAACAGACATCAAGGTGGGCTTCTGAGCTGCCCCCATGGTCCCACACCGGGGCTGCCCGGGTCCCTGACCACTGCAGACAGACAGCCGGAGAATGGCAGCAAGACTGAACTGGTCCCCTCCGTGAAAGACTGAATGCAGCCTCTGGCCTGCAGAGCCTTCCTGATGTGCTGCCCCCTGGTCAGGAGTGCTACGAGGAACCTAGTGTGAAGGTCCAGGCGGGCAGCAAGGGCTAACCACACCCCTCCTGAGCTCTGTGCTGGCACTCAGGCATCACTTAGCGCGGCCAATGTGCATGGCAGCCACACACAATCTCCCTTCCCACCCTGCGCTTATGTTTCCTTTGCGCCTCTCAGAACTGAGTCTCCACCCATCAGCCACGGAAGAGCAGCCTCAGTCCCCAGGTCGCTGCGCAGAGCGCTGTGGACCCGTCTATTCTCTGCGAAAGGAAGGACAGTTGAGTTTCTTATACCGGCCACCTGGTTGGGCTCTAGCCTTACCTTACATAACAGAACTGCTAGCTAAGCAAGGTCTTTATCGCGGCTTAACCCCCGCAAGGCGCGCGGCACAAGGAGGCGGCATGCCAAGGGAAACCCACACAGCGGATGGCCCCGTGGAGCTGGCCTGTGGGATCACGGGCGCAGCCTGGGCCAGGGCCAGCCCAGGCAGGGGCTGGTGGTGCACCGTGAAGGAGGGGCGGGAGGCCTTGTGCGGGAGGGAGGCGAGCTTGATGGACAGAGAGGCGTTAGCAGGCGGCAGAGAAGCGGCAGAGGAGACGGGTAAGAAAGCTTGGTTAGCAGGGAGGGGAGCCAGGTTCTGCAGGAGCGCGGGCTCAGAGTTAGCAGGGAGCAGCGCATGAGCGGGAGGCAAGGCGGCGTTAGGAGGAAGGGGCACGTGGAGGGTAGGCGGCCCCGCAGGGGGCCGGCCCAGGGGCTGGGGTGGGGGCTGCCGCGGCTCCAGGGAGGGCGGGGCCTGAAAGGAAGAGGCGGGGGTGCTGGCCACCGCCTGCAGCGGGGTTAAGCTCAGCGTGGCACTGCGACACGCAGCCCCGCTGCCGAAACTGGCTCCAAACGGATGAGAGGAGGCGGAAGGCACCGCGTGGTTAAAGACACCTGCAAACAGGAGAGAAAAACTCAGCTTCAACAGGCGGCATTCTCCAGGCAAGCGAAGAGACACACACAAAAGGGGAAGCGGACAGCAACCGCAGCTCCGCGTGCACGCAGGTGCAGGGGCAAAGCAGTAGGCAGAGCAGAGGTGAGACTTGCCTGCAGGACGGCCACACCCCCCTCAGGCAGGCCGCCAGGGTCTCCCAGCTGTGAGCATCTCGCCTGCCTGTGCCCAGCAAGGAGCCTGCAGCAGTGGTCTGAGACCACCGAGGGCCCACCCTGTGGCTCTGCTCTACCCTACACGGAGCTCCCTCGCAGCAGGCACTGTGGTCACTCTTTCCAGTTCCAGCCCCCAAGACCACCCAGAGCCCATGGGCTGTGTCAGGTCTGATGGTGACCTCCACAGGCAGGCAGGAAAGCCCTAGTCTCGGTGCCAGCTCTCCTGAAGGTACAAGATGCCGTCACAACCAGAGCCTGCCAGGCCGACTCACGCGTGAGTGCTCTGCCCAAGTGACAGTCACATCTGTGTTTCATGAAAAGGAACGAGGTGGCAGGTGCAAAGTGGGCACAAGAGGTCACGCGGGCACAGCCTCTCGACCCTTAGGGGGCTCTGGAAGGGAACCTGTAAAGCAGTTGTGATTAAACCCAGCGGTCCAAGAGGCACTGATGATGGCCTGCGGCTTGGCGTCTTGGACCCCAGAGTAGGTCCTTCGAGACCCGAGTCAGCTGGGAAAGATGCGCTCCTTCCTACCTCCAACTGCGCCGCCTGCCACCCCGGATGAAAAACTGCCCATGGCGTGTGAGTTGGTCAGTCTGGTCGCAGCGGACGAGACATGCACCAGGCCGGCGGCAGCCGGCACAGAGCTGAACAGGGACTGCAGCACGGATGATCCCAGGTTGGCCTGCAGGGACATGGGGCCCAGGGAGAACTGCGGGCTGGGTGCGAAGGTGCCCAGGAAGGGCCGGTGTGTTTGGGCAGAGGAGGCCATGTTGCCCGCCGAAGATGCTGCTGTGGCAAGGCCCGGGCCGCTGAGGAGGCCCCCGGGGGGCACGGCGGCAGCAGAAATGAAGAGGTTGTGGCCGTTCTTGAAGTCAGGCTCGCGGTCCCGGCCCTTGCCTGCCTTGCCATGTGCCAGTGAGGCCTTGTCTGAGGGCGTGCATGAGGGCAGGCCCAGCTCTGCCTCCCTGCCCTTGCCCCCCTCGCCCTTCAGGCTGTTCAGTCCGTCCAGCTGCCTCTTGTTCACAAAGGGGCCAGACTCTGTGCTGCCCTCCTTGCCCCGCAGGGCGGGAAAGCTCAGGGGGGTGCCCAGGCTGGCCACCTCGGGGGCCTTGTGGGAGAGAGAAGCACCATCGTTGAAGCTGTGTAAACTGAGGTCAGTGGCCAGGCCCCCACTGAAGGCGAAGCCATTGGGAGGGTTGCTGTTTGGGCTCAGCCCACCGGCCGCCGACAGGGCACTGGGGAAGCTCTTCCTGGGGTGGGAGGCCAGCTTGGCGTCAACTGAGCTGGGCTCCTCTAGGGTGGGCCGGAAAGCAAACAGGGAGTTCTGGCCCAGAGTGGAGCTGGCCTGTAGTGGGCTGTCAGTGGCCTTGGCCAGGCTGAGGTCGGAGATGGGCGAGAAGGTGGCCTTCCACTTGCTGCTGTTGACAGGCTCGCTGGCGGGCACTGGCTTTCTTCCCGCCAGGCCACCACCTGACAAGGAAAGGCAGGGGCTGAGGCCTGGGTGCCTCCAAGGGGCCGAGCGGGGCAGGAGCTGTGGTATGGGCTCCATGAGGGGGTCCAGGAGGGAGCTGCATGGGCTCAGACCATCGTGGCTCAGACGCCCTTCCAGCCAGAGAATAGCACTTAGATTCACATGGGCCTGTCCTGGGAGGTCGTGCCAGCACTGTGTGTGGTGAGAGTGGGACTGCAGCAGAAGGCGAGGACAGAAGCAGCCATGTGGTGGGCCAGCACAGAAATCAGGCTCTGGCCCATCTAACCAGGAAGGAAACAGACTCGCTGCCTCGGCAACCAAGGATGTGGTGCCCTGCAGTGCTGAAACTGGCCTGCCCTGGGGACCATCTTTCCGACAACGCTGTCTGCCCAGGTATTCCTGTGCAGGGAGGATGGGGGGAGGTGGCCAGGCGGTACCCAACGTCCCCCAGAGGCAATTCTAGAAGCCTGGTGTGGTCCTCTCACAGGTAGGCAGTGGGCTGAGCCTGGGTGTCACTGCCACCCTGGGGCTGTGTCACTTAGCACTGGGGAGTCAAGGGACAGGAGCACTGTTACTCACCATTTTCCAAGGTTTTTGGAGGAGATTTGCTTTCTAAGGAGATCGTTGCAATTTTTCTCTCGATTCTATCAAAAACAAAAAAAAAAGGACAGTGACTGTTTGAAATCCACGTGCACACGCAGAGCTGTATGTATGAGCTGCACAGGAGGCCGGGCAGGCCCTGGTGCCTCTCATGCCCGTGCAGCAGCCCCAGCGCTAGCACGAAGCTGTCCCTGGTAGGGGACAGGGCTGAGGGCTCAGCCACCACAGAGGAACAGGGCCTCCATCTCCACATATACAGACACACTGTCCCTACGAGCTGTCTCCACTCACTTCTCTCACACTGTTAAAGACCGCGTGCCCACTGCGGTGCATGTGATGCACAGCATGCAGGATGCTGCAGCAGCCGGAATTTGTAGCAGCGCAATTATAAATAGTGTGCATTCTGTGTCAGTGTTGTGCGGTCTGTCCCAAAGGACATTATGACCTCCAGACACAGGGGAGCTTCTGAAAGAATTCGGAAACTGCTAAGTTGGACGTGCCTAACACAAGCATAGAGCACCCAAGTGCAAGTTCTAAAATGTAATGTGTGTATGTGGACGAGGAACAAAAAGGAATAACTTTGACAAGACACCGAAAGCAGAGGCAACAAAAGAAAACACAGAGGAATGGGACTTGGTCAAAATGTGACACTTCTGTGCTTCAAAGGACACCAGCAAGAGAATGAACAGACAGCCCAGGGCGGGGAAGGAAACATTCGCACGCCATGTGTCTGTAAGGGGTCATGGATCTATAATAGAACACATAAAGCACTCTCATAACTCAACAGCAGCACAGGACACCCAAGGACAGAGGGGACCAAGGACCCAAGCAGACACAGATGACACATCAGGTGACTCAACATCAGGTGACTCTCAACAGTGGTCAGGGAAATGGAAGCCAGGACCACGACACCACTCCACGCTCACAAGAGCGGCTGTTACACTAAAGGACAGAAGCAGGAAGCAACAGGCCAGCGATACGGGGAGGAGCTGGATGAGCACAGCTGGTGGGGACGTGCAGCAGGTGGCCACTGTAGGGACACAGGAAGGCAGCTCCTTGCAAAGTTAAACACAGACCCAGCAACTCCACCACTCAGTATGAGGGAAACTGAGACAGATAAACATGTCTGTGAGTGTGCACAGCAGCATGGTCCCCAGCAGCTAAAACGGGAAGCAACCAGAGTGTCCATGGATGGATGACATAACAACACAATGTGGTCCATCCACACGACAGAATGTTACTGGGCCTTAGCAAGAAAAAACACTGACACCTGCTGCAATGTGGATGGACCCTGAGGCCATGATGCTCAGTGACATAAGCCAGTCACAGAAGGACAAATACTGTGTGGTCCCACTCACAGGAGTCCCTAGAGGAGTCAGATTCACAGACAGTAAGCAGAAGGTGAGGGCCAGGGGCTGGGGGAGGGGTTGTTAAGAACCCCTGCGCCCACCAACTATCGGCAGGGGGAAGCTACCTGTCCCCGGGAGGTCACACCTGACCACGAGGGCCTGTGCTTAAGAGCCCTGCTGTGCTCTCCACCCAGTCCAGCCCAACCCCTCACCTGGCACTGCCCGGCTCATCCTCAGAGCCCGGCTCCTCATCTGAGGTCAGCGGGGAATACTGGGCCCCATTGGTTTGGTTCAGGGGCTTCTCTTTCTTGAGCACGGGTGGCTGGTCGTTGTCCTGGTAAGGGACAGGAGAGCTCTTTAGGGAGCTCTCGGGGGACGAGATGGCCGTGATTTCCAAAGGTTGGTTGATGTTGTTGACCTGAGGGAGCAGCACAGACAGCACAACCCTGTCAACAGTCCCCTCACACCAACCCCATGGGCTGTGCTTGGGTCCCTCCTCACCAGAGCCTTCCGGTTGGCGGAGCCCCAGGAACCACGAAGCCCACCCCGTGCCTTTTCCTGCGCGTGGGTGGGCCTGGGGGAAAGGGCACCCAGATGCCAAGCTGTTTATGCTGGGCAAGCCCCCCGACCCCCGTCCCAGCCGCTCCTTCCTGGCCTCACCATGGAGTTAAGGTTGAGAGGGGACCCTGAAGACTGTGTGAAGAGGCTGGCGACGGATGGCAGGGCCCGGCGCTTGGGGGACACACCCGAGCTCAGGCTGGGGGTTCCTGCTGACGCCCGCTTCCTCCTGCCCCGCTTGCGGCTGTCCTGCCCGTGGCTCTGGCTGCTGTCCCCGCGGATACTCGCAGGCAGAGGGCTGTGCTTGTTGGAAGGCGACTGCTTGGTGCTGCTGGTGCCAGCCGAGATGGTGAAGATGGTCCTCCTCTTGGCCTCGCTCTCTGGATCTGAGAAGCCAGCCTCGGAGGGAAGGTCCCCTTTGCTGGCGTCAGGAAGCGGGCCCTGGGCAGTGCCAAGCCGGGGGCTGGCGCAGAGCTGGTGGGCAGGGGAGGCCGGGCCAGAGTTCCGGGGCTGTACCAGCAGTGGGGGATGCTGCGGGGTAGAGCTGCGGGAGCCCATGGTGGCAAAGAGGCTCCCTGAGCTAGAGGACTCGTCAAAGGCTGGGGGCTCGGCTCCAGAAACAAGCGGGGCCGGGCTGCCTGCCAGGGCCCCGCTGATGGCCACCGAGCCGGTGTAGGAGAAACCTGTCGAGAAAGACACCGTTTCTCAGGGGAGCAAGTCCCAGGAGAGGACGCCCAGACTGGCTGAGGATGGTGCCAGCTGGGGTGGAACTGGTGAGAACACTCAGGCCCTAAGAACCGCCCTCCATGTTGTGGTTGCCACCAGAGATGGCACAGAGGGACAGGCAGGCGCCCTCAGGCTGGCACGAGAGTGCCCAGGTGCAGGAAACTCTTTCCCATGTTTGGGTGTGGCACCATAGGAAGCCCTGGAGCCCGTCCCCAACTCCTCACCCCAAGACCTCTCTGGGGGTCTCCCCTAGAAGCTCAGAAACCCGGGTGATGTCCGACTGAGACAGAATTTGTCTTTTGCCCAGAACTGGGTTATGCTGTCAGCTGCAAAGCCATCCCACAGTGTTGGAGTAGTGGGGCACCAGGAAACCAGGGAAGGACCTGGTCTCAGTACTAGTTTGTACAATTCACTTTACGCCTAGGAAAATAATTTCCATACAAGCCATGTTCTCACGCAGGTGGGCAAACTGCAGCCCGACCTGTATTGGCACAGGCCCACCACCTGCCTGTCATATCAGAGCTGAGTAGCTGTGACAGAGACCCACTAGGCTACAGAGCCATAGTACCCTGGGCTCTGTGTCAACAGAGACACGTCAAGAATCAGAGCTCTCTGAAGACCAGAGCCAGCCAGAAATGGAGCGGCCTAGGAGCCCATAGTGGTTTGACAAGGACACAGCCACCATGCCATCCTGCCACGTAGGCTGGAATACACCTAGACCTAGCATGTCTACATCCTCCAGCCACAGGTTCACACGGTGCTGCGCTGCTGCCGCCAGCGGGGACAACGGCCCTGACTCAGCGCAGACCCAACAGCCAGGAGGAGTTAGGCTCTGAGCCCACCCTGGCATGTCTGGGGGCCTCACTCACACCCCTGGCCTGGCCCCTGGGAAAAGTAGGAGGACCGCTCTCACCTGCGGGGGCCAGGGCAAGCCCTTTGCTTCCAGCGCCATGGGCATTAGCACCCATCTGCTTCTCAAGTGTGGATGAGGACTCTCGTGCCTGTGGCACAGGGCTGGGGGTGCTTCTCTGTGGAGAGAGCACACTGTCAGCTGAGTTGGCCAGCGGCTGAACATCGAGGAGGGGCCACAGGCCATGCTGAGGGCCTGAGGCAGGGAGAAAGGCCCATGTGTGAGAAGCAGCGTGTACAGAGGGAAGTGACCTGCTCAGGGTGTGGGCATGGGGGACAGCCTACAGAAGGGTCTGACAAGGGGAGGGACAGATATCTGACTTGGGTCCTAAAGGATGGCTCTGGCTAATGGGCTCAGGCTGGAGATGGAGGGGGCAGGGAGAGCAGTGAGGGGCTGCAGTTACGATCTGACCCAGCAATTCCACTCCTATGTGAAACGAGATGAAAACACTGTCCACACAAAACCTGTACACATATGTCCACAGTGGCCAAAAAGTGGGAACAAGAAATGCCCACTGACAGATGAAAAGATACACAAGATGTGGCCCATCTACCCATCGGAGTGTCACTTGGCCATGAAAAGGAGTGAGGCAGTGACACTCGCCACAGTGTGGGTGGACCTTGAACACACGGTGCTCAGCTCACAAGGCCACACAGTGTGTGAATCCATTTATGGGAAACATTCAGAACCGGCACATCCACAGACAGGACGTGGGTTAGTGGTTGTCAGGGGCTGGGGAGGGAGGTGGGGGTAACTGCTAATGGGGATGAAGTTTCCTTTTGGGTGATGGAAGGTTCTGGAACTAGAGAGGTGGTAGGTGCACAACCCTGTGAATGTACTGAATGCCATTGTAATACACACTTTACATGGTGAATTTTATGTGAATTACATCTCAGTAAAGACAAGGAGAAGCTGCACTGTATGAGGTTCTGTGCTCATGAGTCCACACGCATTGAGGCAGGAGAAGGCAGGTGTGGACTGAAGGAAGGGACGGGCCTTCCAGCTTCTACAGTACCCGGTAGTTCGATCTCCTCTCCACCCATACACACCACACCAACCCATTTACAAAAAAATATCTGAGATGAAAACAGCAAGATGTTACTGTAATTAAATCTAGATTTTAGATGCTGTTTTTCTTGGGTACCATGGTGTGTCCAAAATTCAACAGTGCACAGTTTAACAAAAGGGGGCAAAAAGCAGACACCAGCCCCTCTGCCTGCACTGGTGTTCTGGGCACAGCACCATCCTGGAGCCCTGGCCTGGCCCCGGTGGCACCCACTCACCACCTTCTCGGCGCGGCTGGGCAGCACCACGCTGGCCAGGGGGATGCTGACGGGCAGCTTGCTGGGCTGCACGGTGCTGAGCGGGATGCTGACAGGCAGGCTGGTAATGGCCTCCCCACTGCTAGCATAGGTGCGCTCCTTCAGACCCTGCAGACACAACAGACCTCCTGCTCCTGCTGACCAGCAAACCCTAGGCCACGAGCACCACCCAAAGGACACAGCGACCCTCCAGGCACAAATGGTCCCCTCAACCCAGCCCTCCACCCCAACCTGCTCCTCCTGACCTTCCAGGGCCCGCCCATCAACCCAACAGCCACTAATCACCAAGTCCTCAAGCTTTGACTTTCCAATGTTTCTTAAATTTGTAGCCACATACACAGATAGAGCCACCCTCTTCTTTCTGTCCCCATAGGCAATACCTCCCTAACAGGGCTATGCTATCGAGATACTTTCCTAGCCTCGTCCCCACGGACAGTGGGTGAGGTGACCATGAATAAGGACCTGACAGAGTCCTGAGCACCCCCACTCCTGCATTTTCCTGGCACCACCGGTCCTCACCTGGATCCCCACTCCTGGGCCCTCACCTGGATGGGCTTCTAGCTTCTACCTGGGCCCTCACCTGGACCCCCTCTCCTAACAGACCCACTCAAGACATTCACTGAGTGTCCCTCACAGCCCTGGCTCAGGTGGAGGTGAACAGACCCCCATGCCCCCACCCCATGGGTCCCTCCTGGCGGCTGTATGTACCTTCTCACTGCCCTTCTCTCCTGTCATCTGTAAGGACATGGGGGATGAGGACCGTGGGTACTGAGGGCTCAGTTTGATGCCGTTGGTGAGGCCCGGGCTGTGGTATGGAAGGCTGTTCTCCTTAGTGTGCTCAGCTCTGGAATGAGACACATCCCTCAGTCACTCTTGGAGCCCCTCTGGCTGTGACTTTGCATTCAGAGCTGGTGGCCTGGGCCCAGCAACCCCCCGAATCCCTTCCAAACTGATAAGCCCCACTCCCAAGATCCCATGATGGCCCAAGGGTGCCAGGGGCAGACCCATCAGTCCGCACGCTCACCGTGGGTGCAGCTCGCCAGCAGCAGCCTTACTGTTGGCCGCATGGTCCTGACTCAGGTGGCGTCTGAGTACCAGCTTGGCGGGTGAGAGCCTGGTGTAGTCAGGCAGGGCCAGGCCCGACAGCCTCTCGAGCCGGGGTCGGCTGCTGTGGCCGGGGGTGCAGGGCACAACCTCCTGGTCCAGCGGTGAGGCCAGGTACTGGGGGGTGTTCTGCTTGGACGAGGGCCGGCTCAGCGCACTGCAGAGCTCATAGCCAGACACATGGCCATTCATGGAGAGCTCCGGGCTCATGCTACTAAAATGGGGCAGTGAGAGCTTGGAGCAGTCCAGCTCCAGGTGCAGCCGGCCAGGCTCTGCCTCCAGCTCACGGCCCAGGCCACTCTTCCCGCGAAGGTGACCAGGCACTGCGTCATCAGGCGGCACGCAGGACTTGAGCTGCAGGAGCTCCTGTTGCCGCTGACTCTTCTCCAGCTCCACAATGCTGATCTGTAAGACAGAGAGCGTCAGGCCCAAGGCCCAGCCCCATCCAGCAGCCCACCAGAAGGGACCATCCTGGGAGGGGGCAAGCATACTCTGCTACAGTGGCTGTAGGGACATGGAGGCCAGGACAGTCAGCCGCCCCAACTCAATCGGGGCGCTCTGGGCAAGACAGCATATGAGGGTCAAAGACAGTTCTGCAGATGCACATCTGCTGACTGTCCCAGAAAGCAAGAAATAGAGGACACAATGCTCCCATTAAGTGTAAGACATCAGAAACAACCCTTGAAAGGGCATTTCCTTCCAGGAGTCAGGACATGGGGCATTTCTGTTCTTTTATTATTATTATTTTTGGATCCCATGTGAATCATTTATTATCATAACAGATTTTCGCATTACTGCACCACCCCCTTACCCAACAAATACATGCATTACTGAGCAAAACTCCAGATTAACAGAGAACAAATGCTCTTTAGTCACACCAAAACTCAAAACTTCATGCTCTCAGTAAGGATCCTCAGGAGCAGAGGGAGGGAGGTGGATGGGTTTTGCTACAAGTGGAAATGAGCAGAATCTGAAATAGTTTTGTCTTCTTAAACAAGACTGGAGTTGAGCCCTGTGGAGCTAGGAGCAGAGAGGAGAGGGCGAGATGGACCTGGAGGCAAAAGAAGAAGGAGGTGGCAACTGCAGGCTAAAGGAGGGTCTGTGCCACCAGAAAGAAGTGAGTCAGAGTCCATCACCACCCCGAGAGCGAAGGTGGAGGGAAGTAGCCGCTCAGCCCAGTCCCCAGGACGGGTTCAGCCTCTAGGAGTCTGGGACAACTGAGAGGTAATGGGGACCCCAAGACCAAGAAAGACGGGGGTAGGGGCAGGCTTTTCAGAACGGGATGCTGCTATCCCTACTGCCATTCCAGCACCAGAGTTGAGGAAAGCAGGGACCTACCGAGGAGCACATAGGTTACCTGTCTCAGCTGCCAGTCAAACCACATTTCTGTTCTTTCAGCTCACATACTCTGTTTTTTTCCCCATAAGAACATGTACCATTTCTTGATTACATTGAAGGGTCGGAACTCAAATATAATCCCTTGTGGAGACTGTTCTTGCAGGCACATGCGTAGGAACAAGGCCTGGCTTTGGTGACGGTCAGCAAACCTCTTTCTATAATGTACATTGCTGGCTTGGCGGGCACAAGACACCTGGGCCACATATTGTGGGACTTTAAACTGCTCACAGATCTACTTTGGAGACTAGGTCTTTAGGGAAATACCCTTCAGATGAGTCATTAGTGTAGAGAAATTCATTGTAGTGTCATTTTATAATGATAAACCACTTGAAAGAGCCCCAAGGTTCAGCTGGCTGGAAGCGCTCTGCCTATTACAGAGCCAGGCTGGGGAGGCGCCATGAGGGCCAGAGCCAGAACACACGGAACAGTTGTGATGGCCGATGCCTGTGCTGCATGTCTCCCTTTACTCTGTCACTTAAAAGTTCTGGACTTGGGAACTTAGCCACAGCCTCTGTACTGTGCTTTCCCCCCACCCCTGCACTTTTTTCTAGCTGCTCTTGAACGGGTCACCTCATCAGACAAGCACAAGCTGTTCCGTGGCTGTGTCAGAAACACTTCCCCAGTAGGTGCTCAGACACCCTTTTAAGTCTGGGGTCAGGCGAGATGCCCTGGGAGTAAGTGGGGCATTCCACCTGCCCTGTTCCTTGTTCCCCTCCAGGGCTGACAGTGGGACGTCAGTTACTGTGACACCTGGAGCCAGTACCCTGTTCTCGAGAGGAGGGCGGCTTCCGAGGGCATGCTGACGGCTCTGACCATGTTCCTGACACCATGGCTGAAGAAGCCCAGAGAGGCCGATGCGCCTGTCCTGGGCCCTACCTGCAGCTCCAGGCAGCGTCTCTGCTTCTCGGAGATCTGGCTCCTCAGTGCCTGCTTTTCCTTCAGCAGGTTCTCCAGGGACAGCGTAGACCAGTCTAGCTTCAGTTCCTCACACCGAGCCTTTAGCTGTGGGGATGAGGCAGTCACGGCCATGAGCCTGGGCCTGGCGGGCCCCGCCTCGGAGTGTGGGTGGCTATGGGGAGGATGGGACACTGGGGCTTCCCAGCAGGGGGTCTGCTTCCCACCCGGACACTGGGCCCTGAGGAGAGATAGGGCAGGCATCTGGGCAGGTGTTCCCGGGGGCTGGTCCCTTTCTCCCTCTCACTTCTGGAAGGCCAGGCTGCAGAGAAAACCCGAGGAAAAGACCAGGGTCCCTGTAGGAAATGCCTAAGGAGCACGGTGAGGGGTCCCACGAGATGAGGCAGGGTAGCCCCTTAGAAGGGAGGCCCCTGCACATCCAGCGACGGATGCCCACAGGGTCCCTAGGAGTGAGATCACATGGATCTGTACCCTGGCCCTGGCAGCTCATTAAGGAGTCCAGCATTGGGAAACTGAGGACCAGGAGAGTCTGGGCTGCCTCAGAGGCCTGTCTAGTGAAATCATCAGAGCCTCCGGGATGCCTGACAGGAATCTAAGGAGCCACCTGCAGGCCCTGGGCCCTGCTCACGTTCATGAGCTCTGAGAGCCAAGGAAATTGGCAGCACTCAGAGAACGAAGAAGGACAGAGGGATGGGCCGAGACAGCCTGCACGCACCAGCTGCAGGCTCTGGGTGCGCAGCTCCCTATTATCCTTGTCTAGCTGCTCCGTCTGCTCCCGTAGCTGCTGGTTGTGAGCCGAGATCTCCTTCTGCGCCTGGATCAGGTCGCTGTAGGTCAGCGCCTTCACTCCCAACTATGGACACATGACAGAGGCTGTAGCCCCCCCAGAGAAGGGAGCAAGGGGGTGACCCTAGGACACAAGTCTGTGCCGGATCCATGTGGGGCTGGACTGGGAGTAGCTCTCTGACCAGAACCCGGTTCTAAGCCACCAGAAAAAGCAGCACAAAAAAGTAGTCCTTCCGGATCTCAGTCGTCCAGGGCTGTGCCTCCAGCCCACCCCCTTCATCCTGCCCTTGGGTCATCCAGCCTTGGGCGGCTCTACCTCATCTAGTTTCTGCTGGAAAAGCCTCTTGATCTCCTCTTTCTGGGCCTGGCAGTGGCCAAACAGCTGCTGTGCAGCGCCCAGCAAGCGGGCGTTCTTCTCCTGTGGGGATGAGGTTGGTGAGCATGGGGTCCCATTCCACTCTGTCCCCTCCCTCCAACAGGCTCACTGATGAATGCTATCATCTCCTACGTGCAGAAGTGGCACACACATGCAGAGGGCTGGCTGGTTCCCCAGGATGCCATCAGAAGGTGGCACCAGCCCAGGGGCTAAGCACGCCCACACTCCTAGTGCCACCAGAGATGCCCTCCACTGCGGGTGGGCCCTCTGAGCGGGGACAAGGGGATGTGACAGGAAGCTCAGCATGTTCCTGGCAGGCTTGGGACATCAGTGGCCAGCAGGTGAAGGGTGAAGGGCTCGGCTGTCTCGCCCCTCTGAAGAGCGCTGGAGATACAGATACCGGTGGGCCTCACCTTCTCCTGGTCCAGTAGCTGCTGCAGGCTGGCCTTGTACTGAGGGGTCTTCGTGTATGCCAAGAACTGCAGGTACTGAATCTTAAAGGACTCTAGAAAAGCCGGGGACAAGGTCTCAGAGCAGAAGCCACCTGGCCGAGGCTGATGGGCTGGGGGCAGGCTTGGATTTCTCTGGGAGCTCCCCCGGCCATTGTCAGATGCTGTTAAGAACTGCTGGTGATGGTGCCGACACTTTTGGTCCCCTCACTGCCTTAGCATCCCCCACCACAGCTGTGGTTGGTTCCCCCCAGAACCCCTCAGCAGGAGGACCCTCCTGCGAGCGCCTCTTACAGCTCCTCCCATCACCACCTGCATTTTCTTTCTCCCCAAGACAATGGGTTTCCATGACCAGATCTGTCACTTTTCCCAGTAAACACAGGCTGTTGACGTGGAACTGGGGAAACTAGCAGCTCCCACGATTCTAAAGGGTTCCAGTTTTTAAAGACATGAGAGGTCTCCAAATGGAGGCCCACAAGGTGAGCAGGGTTCATCCCCGACGGGCCTCCCCCAACACTGGGGCCGTGGGAGTCCTGCCCACTCATTTGATGCAGGTGCACTCCCAATGTGACCACAGATGTCCCCAGACACTGATCAATGTCTCCTAGGGGGCAGGCCCCTGGCCCCGCACCATGTGTCTGGCTCACCTAGCAGCTTCTGCAGTGCAGGCGGGATGGGTGCCAGCAGCAGCTGGTCAGGTGGCTGCCGCTGCACAGTGGGAGGTAGCTGATAAAACGGGCTGTGAGGTGACTTATACGCATCTGGGGAGACAACAGCATCCATGTGTCAACAACTGGCCTGCACACCCTCTCAGGGAATTACAGACTATTCTACGGAGCTTCTTTGCCTTTTTAAAGATAAGACTCGACATAGCTCTTAGGGTCCAAAGGCCATGACCAGGTACTGGGTCTTGGCAGTTCTATGAAATCCCTGTGAACACTGAGTTTCTGCCAGCTGCTGACCTATCGGAGCCTGGGGGTAGGGTGTGCTCTCAGGGGGCTGTGGTTGGCTCACCTTGCGGCGAGGCGGCGGCAGTCTGGGACATGGTCTGAGAATGCAGCAGGTCCAGTGCAGTCGGGCTCTTCTTGGGCTTACGCTCAGGGTTCGCAGTGCTCATCTTTTTGGGGCGCCCGCGCTTCCGGCCGGCCAGCTTCCGCCCCTTTTTGTTCAGCTTCTTCTTCCGGGCTTTGGAGGGGGATGGCTTCTTGATGGCAGTTGTCCCCACTTTCTCTTCCTCAGCACCAGAATCCTGTGGATGGGATGTTGAGGGATCAAAACTCTTGTTAATAAGCCTGAGACACAGGATCCAGAGTGACTGGACAAGGTGCACTGCATCCCAGGAACCCCCTCTGTCTTGTGGCCGGTGACCAGTGTGACCAATGTGTGGGCTGTCCAGCACTGCTGCCCTCCAAGGCGAGGGCAGGGTGGCTGGGCTCTATGCTTACCGGCAACTATGCGGGCCCAGGGTGTGGGCGCTTACCACAGGGGTGTCCGCAGGCGCAGCTGCCTTGCTCTCGGGCACCTTCGTGGGGGTGGTTGTGTTACTCTTGTTTTCTCGCTGCTGCCGGCGCCGAGCTGCCTCTTGTTCCTCCTAGAAAGCAAGTGTTGGAAGTGTCCTCAAAGTGCTGGCATCGTCAGGGTCCCCCACCCCCCCGCCCTGAGGTGGGCCAGCAGGCCCCGCTCCACTCATGTCAACTTCTCTGCCCACTGTACAGGTGAGGAAACTGAGGCAGAGAAGCCTGTGTGCCACCCCTGGCCCTTAGCCGGCCACAAGCCACACACGTGTCTACTGCAAGTGAGCAGACATCCCCAAATCTGTCAATCAGAAACCCGGTGGCCTTCTAAACTGACACATGCAACGAAACAAAATCAAAGACAAAAGGCCCTGGGTGTAGTGATGAGGAAGCTGCCCGACAGTCCTTTCCTCTGGCAGTATGGGGGCCCACACTGGGGCATGTTCATGCACAGAGCATGTGCTCTCCAAGTGAAGCTACTGCAGGGGCCCTGGGAAGAGGGAGGACGGTGCCAGCTGGCTTAGCTTGTCCTCTGTGCTTGGGGTGTGCTGGGGGCCTCGTCCTGCTCGGATGCTTGCCCGAGTCTCCAAAAAGACAGGCATTTTGGCAGATGCCCTGTGAAGCCGCTGAGAGGGTGGGAGATGCCAGGACAAGACACTGCAGGACACTGGGACCTGCAGCAAAACCACCACGTCAGGGCCTAAACTGGCTCCCCTCGCGTAGGGGCTGCCCATGCCTGGAGAGGACTGCAGGTGCTCCAGCTGCCGCAGGCCTCTGTTCTGGATGTGTGGGTCAGTGGCGGCTCCCCTCGTCCTACACTTTGCAGAACTCACCAAGTTACCTGAACATTGTTCAAAGGTCGCAACTCACTCAACCTAGTTCCGCAAAGATCGTTCCCAGAAGTGCAGCTCAGCGGGAGCTGTGATCCCCATCCCTCAACCTGGCGCTTCCCACTCACTGCTCGGAGCTCCTCTAACAGTACCCCATGACGTTCAGTGAAGGAATAAAGCACACACTTACCCTGAGTTTTGGATTTTTCAGACTAGAAAAATAGTTTTCAAGCTAAAAATGGAAATAAAAAGGAAAACATCTTATTGGAAGTCAGTCCTAAACCCTGTATGCACATGCCAACATCAGACGTCCTTGGAGACTGGCAGCAAGCTGGCAGGGAGATCTCTCTGCCCAGAGACCCACCCCAACCACAGGCCCGGGGTCTTGGGGGTCGTGCAGACCCGTAGGGTCATCGTGTCACACGGGGCAAGCATGGGTGAGGGCCAGGCCCAGCTGGCTCAGGGGGTCCCTGGACATTAGACACCTCTGACACCAAGGCAATTATCATCACATGTCACTCGGGACAACGTCCATCCTACACAAAGACTGGGAGCGAAAGAGGGAAGACAAAGGGCCCTGAAGCCCACCCATGCTGTGGGAGGGCCTGGGCCTCGCCTGCAGACACTCACTATGGTGCGGTCGATGGTGTGCAGGTAGTAGGACACTGGCTTCCCCGTCCATGACACCGAGCCTTTCAGCGGCGACAGCTCCACCACACGCATGATGGTGCCGATGTCTGCAATGATGACACAGGTCAGGCCTCATGCACCGGGGACAGAACCATGTGCCCTCCTCATGTGCAGCCAACCCATCTGCCAGACTGGCAAGGTGCCCGGCCATCAGCACGCTGGCAGTTCAGAGAGGCACATGGCGAGCATGACAGTCCTCACTAAGCCAGATGCTTGTCCAAGGAAAACGGCAGCAAGCCAACAGGGTGGGATGGGAAAGCACTTAGGGAGCACTTGGAAAGAACATGCTACTGGCACACCCAGCACCCGAAAGGTCTGGCCTTGAGTGAGCGCCACATAGCAACAGGGCTCTTCCCCAGGGGCCGGGGCTGCAGCACCACCTGCCGCACACATTAGCCACTTGCCTTGCAGGCCAACCAGATGTGGGGGCAAAGCAGCTTGTAAACCACTCCCTGTGACTCTCCACAGCCTCCTGTCAAGCCTGCGGGTCTCTACCCGGGCGGTTCTGCCCCACAAGGGACACAGGGCGATGTCTGGGGATATCTGCGGTTGTCATACAGGGGTGCTCCTGGCATCAAGTGGGCGGGGCCAGGGAGGCTGCTCAACCCCCCAGAGAGTGACCCGCCTGTGTCAGCAGTGCTGGGCTACACTCACACATCAGTGCTAAAAATCATGTACGTATAAAGTTAACAACATAGGGCTTTCTTACCACTCAAGTTTCTACTGTTTATTCTGAAGTTCAGAGGTGCGAAGGGCTTCGAGGACACGATTCTGCCACCTGAAACACAAAAACTGATTACTGCCATTCGGAGAGAACAGCTGCACACACACCAATGAAAGGAAAATGGAGTTAGCAGGGTGGAGAGGCTACGGGCACACTGAGTGGACTGCACGAAGACCACGGGTCCTGTCCGTTTCCTCCAGGTAAAAGCAATATTAAGGCATGCTTAAGCCTGTCCTACTAATCGCTTTCCTGTAGAAATGCGCCCCAGGCCCCTGAAACCTCAGGGGCACTGACCCCACCTGTGTAGACACATCCTATGTATAGCCCCGGATCTGACACCTGCCAGACAGAAACAGAGCTTGGCTGTCAGGTCAGGACTCGCTGCTCCCAAGAATCATTGCACTAACCCCCCACATCCAGGTGCTAGTTCTAGGGAGGAAAAGAAGAACCCTGGCCTCTGCCACGGTGAGAGTGTATGAGTGGTGCTGCTCACACTCTGAGCACCATACCGCTCCTTGTGCACTAAAAACATCGAGTAAACACGTTAACGCTAAACTCTGCAGTGTGAGAACAAAAGCCAAACATAAAAATCAAAGAGAATAATATTACATTTCAATAAGAAGCCAGGATGAATCTACCTAAGGCACACACATACGTGCACACACACACGCACACACATACCCCACGATAGCCCAGCACATAGCCTGCTTCTGCACACCATCCCCACTAGGAGGGATGGGTCCCAGGGCTGGCAGGAGCATGGTCAGGCAGTGACCTTGTGCCAGGGATGAGCAGGCGCTGGGACCACAGGAGCACCTAAGAGTGTGTGCATAATGAGATACAACCCAGGGATCCACAGGCTGCTCTCATCTGGGACCTGTCACTGTTCAATACTTGCAGAACAACGATGCATTAGAGGACTTCCGAGGGCACGAAACTGCAGGACAACGGAAGGCTGGTGATGGGAAGGCTTGGCAGGCAGTCCCAACCCTGAGTCGGCCCACATATGATAGCCAGGCACCCAGGCCCTTAGGAAACAGGGCTGAGTGGGGCAAGGTCGAGATCACCACGAGGAGTGAGTGCAGAATGGGCGACATCCCACAGGACAATGAGCGGGAATGCCCCATGCGTGTCACCAAAAAAGATGGAGGGGCCATTCTCGAATAAAATCCCGCAGTGGCCCGAAGGCCATGTGTGACTGTTGGCTGAAGAGTCAGGAGAAACAGCCAAGAGGGTGCTCAGGACACCCCAGAAATCCATTGCAGCGTGCAGTGAACAGTGGCCACTCACTCTTACAAATAATTAGGAACAACCATACACACGTGTACGTATACACATATGCTCACCTATACACACACTCAGGCGTGCATGCACGCACACACACATGCAGCCAGTGGTGCTGAAGGCAGAAGAAAGCTACCTATGTCTGTAACCTTTCCCACCCCCACCCAGGACTGGACTGGGCTGCTGTCTGCATTGGGACCTGGGACCAAGACAAGAGAGGCAGCAGAGCATTCCGGCCAGGTGGGGGTGGTTCCAAACAAAAGAGGCCCAGAAAATATGGGAGAGTTGGGCCTAGATGCCCGTGCCCCCAGGTTACAGTTTCCAGATAAGCAGGGACACTGGTCAAGTCTGAATTTCACATAATCCTTGAGTATAAGCTGGGGCACCCTTATACTAAGAAGTTATTCATTGTCTGCAAGAAATTCACATTTAACCGGACAGCCTCTAGCTTCCTTATTAATCTGGACACCCACCCCAAATCCCTCACACTGGCCAAGCAGTGAGGTCAGGTCTATTCCACTCCACACACTGAGCTGGGAGGCACCTGGCCAGGCCACCCAGGTGACAGTGACAACCACAGCCAAGGCATCCCCGCTGCCTGAGGCCTTTCGACTGGGCCTGCAATGGGCGGGTATAGAAAGTTAGAAGAATTCCAACACCTGCAATCAGTGCCACAACTAGCCAGACGCAGCAGCCCCAGCAGGATGGGGTTCAAGGGGAGTACGTTACCTTCCTTCATGTTTGCAAATCGCTCCTTCAGCTGGTGATCCACCTCAGGACCAAAGGCAAAGTTATTCACAAATATAACACTGCAAAATAATATTCCAGTTGAGTAAAATGAAGGTTCCATTTTCACACGTGCACACAGTGCCCATGCATACGACGCCTACTGCCTCCACCACAAGCTCCATTGTGGGGCCAGCCCCCAGGGCTGCCCCAGTTTGTTGCTAACATACAACAATTCAGAAATTTCCATTGACCACCAGACTGCTGGCTTCTCTGGAAAAGCTGAGATGGATGCGTGCAGGCTGAGGCAGCCCCCACCTGCCCCTCGGACATTTCTGGGCTAGAATGTGGGCAGCACAACTGTCACCTGGGACAGCGGAGTGAGGATAACCAAACACCCAGGCAGGAAGGCAGCTGGCTAAGTCAAGCTGCATCTGCACGCACGCACGCACGTCCCCCCACCCCCACCCCCACCCCCTAGGGTCCATGTGACCAGAAGCAAAGCTCTTCCGAGGGAGGGTGTGGCTGACATTCTCTGGCACCAGATAACATAGGGAACCTCAGTTTGCAGATCCCTGCTGGGGCAGTTGGTGAGGCTTCTGCCCTTGCCCGGGGGAACGGTGAGATGCCCCCCACCCACTCCCTCACCACTGGACCCGGCCCAGCCCACTTGGAGGATTCTGAATGGCTAAACTCTGGAAACAACATGCAGCTGGTTCAGGTGAAATGGATAGTCCCACACTGAGTCACATGGCTCTCCTTTCCTCTCCTCTCTGTAAGTGCATCCAGATTAAAACTGGGCCACGATGGCAGAACTATGGACAAGGGTCACTTTCTCTTTTGAATGTGACAGAAAACAGAGTGAGCTGTCATCCTCATGCTGCTTGTCTTAAGTCTTGATAGCTTTAAAATCAAGTTATCTGAACCATTCACAGACAGCGAGGGAAGGAGCAGCAGTGGAGGGGCTGACACGTGTGAGGGCAGGCACTGACAGCAAGTGTGGAGTGAAGAACACCAAAGGTAAAGACCAGCGCCCTCTCTGCTAAGAGGAGAAAAGACGGTTGAGGTCTGAAGCAGGACAGAGGCACCCCGGGTGCTGATGGATAGAGCCTGACAAGGGACTGAGCTTGGGGAGGCTGGATGCCAGTCTCAAGGCGACCAAGACAGTGAGCAGGCAGAGCCAGAAAGGCCACTGGGAACTGCTGACTGGAGGGGAGGCTCCAGAGACTCCTGCGCTCTCACATTCAGACACGAGGAAACCAGAAACCTGAGGTAGGTGTCCAATCTGATGATAAGGAGCTGGTGGGAAGGGATAGCCATGATAGGAAGCAGAGCACCTGGGGGGATGTCCGGGGCCCAGCTTTGGGGCCTCATCATGTTCTCCAATCACCCAGGTTTGGCCAAGAGAGAAGAGGCTGAACTCCAGTGCTGAAGGGCCGTCAGAGGCCAGGCACACAATGGGCAAATAAGGCCAGGGTGCAGTGTGATCTCAAGGGCTTTTACATTCCTGAGATGCCTGGAAGAAGGGACTCTGCAGCCTGGATGTTGCTGGTCTGTGCTCACTCACTCCAGAGGGGAGGAGCCCAGCTCAGCCTACCACAACAGCCACAGAGCTTCAGACCCTGTTTGATGGGGGCACCCATGGGGTTAGCAGGGTTCTTTCAAGAGGGGGAGGACCTGGCCAGTGGGGAAAGTGGGCTCACAGGAGAGCAAGGAAGGGGGATACTTGTGTGAAAGAGCAATGTCTAGCTCCTATTTGCCTGCAGAATCACACGGTGGGGGACATGGGGCAATCTGCAGTCAGTGCGCCCAGAAGGACAGGGGGAGACAAGACAGCAGGTCAGACTGCAACCCCTGAGCTGCTCCAGCAATGCCGGCCAGCTGCTTCCCAGGAGCACTCCCAAGTGTGACACGGCCCTCTCCGGCTGATCCACACAAGACCCTCATGCTCCAGCCTTCCCTTGTGCCAACCCAGCTAGGCCCATCAAAGCTGCGGCAGAGCACAGCAATCCGGCCCAAGGCCAGCGGAATGACAAAGAGAAGATGACAAGAAAGAAGACAGGGGAGGGCTGCAGATACAGCTTCAGGAGCTAGTGGACATCAAGGTCACATGTGAGGCCCTCGGGTGGCAGGCCTATGGGAGCCAGGAGGGCTCTGCCAGGAAACGCAGGACACACAAGGGTTTCCGGTCAGAACGGGCTGCTGACGGTCACCACGGGGAAGGCAGAAACAGCCCGCCTCCGACCAAGCCACGGAGGCAGCACCGGGCACTGTGTCTGTGTGCAGACACAGCGTGAGCTGAGCTCATGGACCAGACCACAGGGCTGCCCACCCTCCCGGGCCATGAAAAGCAGGAAAGGGCCCTTCCTGACAGGCTACAAAGGCTGGCCACACTGACTCTGGGCCCAGTCACTGACAACCTGCCCTGCTGACAGTCCTGAGAGTGACTCTCGGCGGAAGGCTAGGCGGGGTGGCCGAACCAAGAGAGAGCAGGGAAGCCCCAGCTGCCTCCACCATGCAGCTGTGCCACGAGAAAGGCTGCCTGCCCAGCCAGGCCCCAGCGCTGTCCGCAGGCCCCGTACCTTGTGTTGGCGATCCGCTCTCTCCACTCTTCCGAGAGGAAATCGCCTCTTTCCAGCTGAAAGGAAGAAAACAGGGACAAGCGCTTGTCACGGGTCTTGCTCAGCTCCTGTGGCCCCCAACCCGGTGAGGAACAGATGAAATGAGCACAAAGTCACTAAAGAGGGCAGGACTCGAGGTGAGGCTGAAGCATGGCTGCCAGCGGCTCTGTGGGGTGGAATAGACAGTCAGAGATAGGCTAAGACCACACACCTCAGTGCAGGTCACATGCCACCAGCATGGGGATGGGGCCGAGCAGCACCCGGGTGCATAGAGCCCAGGGTACACTAGACAATGTGAGTCACAGTGCCATGTCTACATGGGGACAGCAGGGGGTGCATCACAAACGCGGGCATGCCCCACCGCAGGCTATTATGGACAGAGGTGGGTTGGCAAGGGCCACAACAGACACCTGCGTTGTGACTGTGACTGACAGCGAAAGATGACATTGTCTCGCCCTTGGACTGTGGCTCTGAGCAGCTTTACCTGAGAACAGGGCCGTCTGCACGTTCAGTGCCTGCTCTCCCTGCTATTTTTATTGGCAGACTGATGTCCTTCTGCCTCAAGGCCAGAGTCTGATCCAGATAACACAGTTCTTACTAACCTAAGTGTCCAGAGATGTAACATTCAGTAAATCAAATCTGGTTTTGTAATTCTTCAAAAAGGCCTTCAGCACCACTCCTCAGTGTCTGCCCAAGAGAACTGAAAATGCCTGTCCACACAGAAACCTGTACACATTCGTAGCAGCAGGATTCTCAACAGCCTGAGGGTAGAAACAGCCCAAGTGTCCATCCGTAGATGATGGACAAACACAAGAGGTGGTCCTATAACTCAGCAGTGAAAAAGAGGCACTGACACTTGCCACGACATGGATGGACCTTGAACACAAGGTGCTCAGTGAGAGAATCCAGACACACAAGGCCACACAGTGTGTGATACCACTTATGTGAAACGTCCAAACAGGCACATCCACAGACAGAAGTGAGTTAGTGGTTGTCAGGGCCTGAGGGAGGGATGAGGAGTGACTGCTTATGGACCCTTATCCATACCACCACAAGTGCTGTGAACTGATCAGGAGCCCGATGGGCACTGCACCTCTCTCAGGATGGGAGAAGGAAGACCCCAAGCAGAGAATGTCCTGTGGGTGCTGCCACTGCAATGCAGTTAAGGCCCTGTGCCCTGGGAGACAGATAAGGAGCTACATAGCTTATGTCCTCCAGTGTTCACAAAGAAACCACCGAGGGAGTCCAGTGACGTGAGTGCTGTGACATGAAGGTGCAGGACACGGGGAGGCAGCCCATTCTAAACTGCTCAGAGAGGGCCAGCCCACAACCTGGTTGTCCGCTGTCTCTTCCCCACCTGAGGAACCTTCTAAATCTGCCTTCACGCCCCACGGACATCCAGGCCAGGCCTGGGGAAAGTGACTCGAGTCCAAAGTTCTTACTGGTGCTGTGCAAGACAAAGTTTAACCTTTATCCTTGGAAAAGCCGGCTTGCAAGGGTGGCTCTCGGCGGTATCTGGAACTGGACTTGTTGGGGGCTCCCTGGCCCTAAACAGTCTGTGCAAACACGTGGTTCATGCTGACCACCTACTCTCCTCCTGGAGTCTGGGGTTTTGTATGTGCTAGGCTCCCGGTGAGAATCCTGGGTGCTGGATCTCTGTGAGCCCCCTGGGGGCCACACCTCACACACACTGTCACATCTTGTTTGGGGAGGAATTAAGTGCATGCTGGTGACCCCACCAGAAGTGGACTTGAAGCTTGTGCCTGGTCTCTGGGCCCCACCCCAACGGCCTTTTCCCTCAGCTCATCTTGCTCTGTCCTATCTCTATAAACCACCATGTCATCAGGATGACCACTGCTGAGTCCTGGGGTCCTCCTTGCAAATCCTGGGGTGGCCTCGGGGACCCCAACACAGGTGACTCCATATTTGAGGCAAGAAAAAAAGCCACAGTCCTGGCCCCTGCCTGTCCTGCCTCACTGCAGTTCTGCTCGTGGGTCATGACCGTCCAAGGAGAGTGACGGGCTGAGTCAGCTCTGTGTCGCTGGAGCCAGTGTGCCTCAGTTAACAGTGGCCAGAAAGATATGCATGGCCTTCCCGTCCCTGTCCACCCCACTCAGGACTAGCCCCAATGTCACTGAGACCTCCTATTTCTCCCATCTGTGGAGAAATGCCTGAGGGGAATGAAATGGGAGGAGCCCCCAGCACACACATTGTCCTTTCCACAGGAGACCACTGATTTGCTTGTGTCCCAGGCCAGCAGGCAGCTCTAGGGTCTGACTCAGGCAGGGTGGGCACACACACCCCTATCTCAGCTCACTCTACCTGACCAGACTTTCTCTTGAGAGCAAGCACCCACATCTGCACAGAATACACATGCTCTCAACATCCAAGAAATAGAGCATGTCCTGCGTGAAGCATCCATTCCAGCGGGGAGACTGAGGCAGACCCCAGCCAAAGCCAGGTGGGCAAGAGCCCCTGAAAGGAGGCTCTGGGCTCATTGCTCTGCCAACCTGCCCAGGACCCGTCACAGACCCACATAGATGCCGCTCAGCTGAACTGCCTGACTCCCAGGGACTCAACCCACAGCAGGACCAGAGTAAAGGTGTACCAAGGCTTCCAGAATGCATGTGGTTCCATCACTTTCCCAAGGAGGACGCAGCCGACATTCCATTGCCTGGAAGCTCTGAGGGCTACATGGGCTCTGCACTTTTGGAGTCTATTGGCAGCACTGGGCCATCCTAACGTTGACCAGCTTGCAGGGGGCAGCCCTCACCCAGGGGGAGGCCCCGAAACACTTCCTGAAAAAAACCTGCCTGAGGAGCCATAGGCAGGTCCACAGCTCAGCACCTTCCCCACGTGGCACTTCCATGAGGCTGCGGCCACCCAAGGTGCCACACTCTGGATGCCCGAAACCTGCTGTGTGCCAGGCCCATCACCAGGACCCAAGAGCTCCACCACAAGCAGACAGCCCGGACGTCAGCCTGGGCAGGGAGCTGGATGGAGCGTCTTCCAGGTGAACAGATAAGCAGGTGTTAGCCAAGTGGAAGGAGGGGACAGGGCTCTGATAGGAGGGCTGTGGGCGGGCAGGAAGGGCCTGGCCACCTGGGAACCACTGGGCTGCAGGGACAGAAGCTGGGTAAGCCCAGCTGGGTAGTGCCTCTGTAGGCGGGGTGGGGACAGGAGGGAGGCAGGCCACAGGGGATCCTTGGCCTCCAGAAGCAGGCTCTGGGGTCTGGAAAAGCACACTGGGCTATTTTTAGGTTCCTGTTGGCTTTGTTTCCTCTCCAGTTCTTAAGTAACAGGAGGCAGGACTCCGCCTGCCAATTAGGCGCCTGGTCAAAGCCACAGCAAGCTGCTGGGAGGCCTCTTAAGACCCAGGACACAAGTTCCCGCCAAATCCGGGCGTTCAACCGTCAGGCAGACTCTCACCACACCCTTCTGGAACAGGGGTGTATCCAATAGGATGAGCTCTAGAGACAGGCCAGAGGACACCAGAGGCACAGACAACTGCTCCTCCTGTGGCCAGCTTGTCCCAGATCCCTGCCAAGGCTGTGACCCAGCGTTCTTTTAGCCAAATTCTGTTCCCCACCACTTCACAAGGGCCATGCAGGGCTAATGAGCACTGTAAACCCCATGAGACCTAGAAAATGAGATGATTCCCAAGCAGGGAGCCCCTCCTGTGCACCCACCAATGCAGCACAATGTTCAGACATGTCACTAACTCCCAAACGCCCAGCAGGCCAGGAGCTGCCACCCGATGGCGACAGGAGGAGGAAGCAAGGATAAATGATGTGCCCAGGGTGGGGGCCTATGGCCTCCTCCAAACCCCACTGCAAATGGAGCGCTAGAGGCTGCACAAATGGAGTGCTAGAGGCCGCATGTGGGTCAATGGGGCCGCTATGGGCACCAGGCCAATGAAAACTCTGACACTGTGTGCTGAGAGCTGGTAGGCTCGCTCACCAGAATGAGGAAGTCTTCTCTGAATTTAAAAACCTGTGTTTTAGGGGCCGGCCAAGGGGCGCGATGGTTAAGAACTGGTTTGGGACGCCAGAGGGCCCCGGTTCGGATCCCACATATGAGGGCCAGTGACACCGCCCTCCACAGCTAAGATGCTGAACAGCAGCTCAACCTGGAGCTGGGCTGCCGAGAATCGCTGGCAATGGTGTAGGCTGCAACCACTGCTGCAGTGGGTTGCCATGGGATACTGTGTGTAGCCAGCAGCCAGTGTGAGCGGCCCTCGAGCCGCCGTAAGCGGCCGTCCAGAAGCCGGTGACTGATGTGCCTCACCTGGGAAGAGCACAATGATGGTGCCAACTTAGGCCAGTGAAGCAACGTCCTCCACAACTAGACTGAAGAACAAAACGACAGCAACTTGTCTGTTCCCCTTCCCCAATTCCCCAGTGCTGTTCCCATCCCCCCAATTCCCCAATAAAAATCTTTTTTAAAAAACCTGTGTTTTAGGAAGTCATGCAGTCTCAGAAAAATGGTTAGCCATCTGGGAACTCTCAGTCAGTGCACATGACGATCAGGCCATGGGAAGAAGTTTCCTGGGAATGGAAGCTAGCTGGTCTTACTGCCCGGCCAGTCCACAGCACAAACACCAGAGAACTTTTGATGTGGGAGGAGCAGGAGAGGTCAAAGGCGATGACTTCTCACTGAGCAAAGAGAATTCCGGAAGAAATTCCACCAAGAGAAAGGGAAGGGGAGCTGGGCCCACACTCTAGGAAAGCAGGACAGCAGCAGAGTGAGCACTTCTGAGCTCACTGGACGAGGCCAGCATCAACTGGTACCAAAACCAGACGGTACAAGAAAGGGAAACTACAGACCAGGACCCCTAGTAGACATAGATGCAACAATCCTTAACAAAATGGGAACAAACTGAAAACCTAACAATGTGTGAGGTGAACACATGCCACAAGCCAGTGGGATTTACCCCAGGCGTAGATGGCTAGCTCAACGTCCATACTCCATCACAGCAACAGGCCAGAGAGGAAAAACTATGTGATGGCATTAACAGATGCAGAAAAAGGTGTTTAACAAAACCTAACACCCGTTCATGATGAGGCTTCTCAGCAAAATGAGACTAGAGGGGAACTTTGTCAGCTTGAAAAAGAACATCCACAAAATCCCAACAGCTGGTGTCATACTCCATGGCAAGAAACTCGAAGCTTTCCCATTAAGATCAGGAACCAGGCAGATGTCCCCTCTCACCAATGGCTTTTCAACACTGTATTGCAAATCCTAGCTAATGCAATAAGGCAAGAAAAGTAAATAAAAGGTGTACAGATCAGAAAGAAAATGATAAAACTGTCTTTGTTTGCAGATGACATGGTCCTCTATGTAGAAAATCTAAAAGAGTCAACAAAAAAAAAAACCTAATACACAATTATAGTGAGGTTACAGAATAAAGGTATTACTGTATATTAACATACAATATGCAAAGGTCAAGTCCTATAAACCAACAATGAACAAATGGAATTTGAAATTAAAAAGACAATACCACTTATATCAGCATCAAACATGAAAAATACTTAAGTATAAATCTAACAAAATATATACAAGACCTATATGAGGAAAACTACAAAACTGATGAAGGAAATCAAATGACTAGATGAATGGAGAGACAGCCCATGTTCATGGATAGGAAGATTCAATATTGTCAACATGTCAGCTCTTCCCAACTTGACCTACATCCAATGCAATCCCAATCAGAATCCCAGCAAGTTACTGTTTGGCTATCGACAAATTGACTCTAAAGTTTTTATGAAGGCAAAAGACCCAGAATAGCCAACTCAACATTGAAGGAGAAGAACAGTATTGGAGAACTGACACTACATGACCTTAAGACTTACTGTAGAGCTACAGTAATCAAGACAGCATGTACTGGTGAGAGAACAAATACGTCAATGAACAGAACAGAGAACCTAGACACAGACTCACACGAATGTAGCCAAATGATCTTTGACAAAGGAGCAAAGATGGTCTTTGCAACAAATGGTGGTGGAACAATCTGACCTCCATGTATAGACCTTATGGGCCGGCCGAGTGGCGCGATGGGTAAGAGCTGGCTTGGGACACCAGAGGGCCCCGGTTCAGATCCCACATGAGGGCCAGTGACACTGCCCTCCACAGCTAAGATGCTGAACAACAGCTCAACCTGGAGCTGGGCTGCTGTGAGTCGCCGGCGATGGCGTAGGCTGCAGCCCCTGTGGCAGTGGGTTGCCATGGGCTACCGTGTGTAGCCAGCAGCCAGCGTGAGCGGCCAGCACAGCAGCCATAGTGAGTGGCCGTCCAGAAGCCAGCAACTGATCTGCCTCGCCCGGGAAGAGCACAATGATGGTGCCAATTTGGGCCAGTGAAGCAACGTCCTCCACAACTAGACTGAAGAACAAAACGGCAGCAACTTGTCTGTTCCCCTTCCCCCAATTCCCCAGCACTATTCCCATCCCCCCAATTCACCAATAAAAATCTTAAAAAAAAAAAAGACACAGACCTTACACTCTCCACAAAAATTAACTTGAAACAGATCACAGACTTAAATGTAAAACACAAAATTATAAAACTCCTATAAGACATTGTGAAAGTAACCCTAGGTGACCTCAAGTTTGGCAATGACTTTTGAACACAGCACCAAAAGCATAATCCATGAAAAAAAAAAATTGTTGGGTTGTTCTAAGGAACAGGAAGCCTCTTTCTCGCTCTCCCCACATGTCCAATCGGCCCCCAGTCTGTGATTATATGATTTATACTATTTCCCTAACTCGATAAGGAGTGTAGGTTCCGGCTCAACAGTCAACACTCCACGGGACAACCTGCTCTAAACTGGTGACAATGGGGAGAAAGAGGACTGAACAGTCCTAAGATTTTCGGGAGGGAGCAGCCACAGGACCAGTGGGTGGAACCAGGTGGAATCTGAGTTGTTTTGGCCTCAACCACTGGGTATATGGGGGTGATGAACCAAGATGGGAAGAGAAGAAGTATGCATTAAGGATCCGATTTGGACCCATGCCAAGTGCATGGAGACTGCATGGCAGCTGTGTATCCACGGGCAACAGAAGAACCCCTGACAGCAAGACTAGCGGGGCATCTTGAGCACTGACATGCATTTCAAGGTGTGTACGTAGGTGCCCTGGGCAGGAGGAGCAGTGAGAGACCAGAGGACCCAGGCCCAAGGCCAGGCTGAGCAGTGGAGACTGGGGGGCATAGGGGCAGCCGGGAGAGCCCTAGAGCGTGCTGCCCCTAATCCCAACCTTGCCAAGGAAAATGGGCATAGGCTGGGTCACATGCTTCTGGGAAGGCAGTCAGAGAAAAATGCCACTCAGCTGGCCAGTGGATGGAGGAAAAGGCCATTTCCTCTATGCCCCACTGCCCACCTCGCATGGGCTCCACCTACACACACATGCACGAAGGAGGGGCTGCTTCGGAAGGAGCCCCAAGTGCTCCTGGAGATACTCAGAGGGTGGTCAGTTAACCTTGTGCAGCCTAGGGCTGAGAAGGAAAGATGCTGCGATATGCCACCTCTGTTCGCTGAGAGAGTGAAGGAGTTAGATTCCCCCCACCCCTACCCCCAGGTGGCCCCTGAGAAAGGAGGACAAGTGTAGCCAAGGAAGGATGAAAAGGGGGAACTTCCGGGCGATGCCAGGTGCCCCATCCGGGGCTTCAGGAGGAAGCTGAGTGGGCCTTCTTCCCAAAACACCGCATGGCCGGCTCGAGCCAGGCCAGGCCAGGCAAGAACAGGTCCAGGAGGGGCAGCCTCAGTGGGGATGAGCCAGGGTTCGGGGGGTGGCGGGGGTAGGAGAATGGCAGGTCCAGGAGGAGAAGGGGCCACAGGGGACTCATTAGCAGTGGGGGCATGGAGCGATGGCACTCACTGTGTATTCTGCATGCTTTTTTCCGTACCATTTCATCCACTTCCTGAACTCTCGGTCCATGGTCTGCAAGGGAGTGACATCAGACAACCTGTCAGAAATCCAGGATGGCCAGGGTGGCAGAGGGTGCCTCTCCATGCACTTGGGTGGGCGACCTGTGTCTCCCCAGGCCCTGTCCACCACCTGGCACCTCTTCCACTCCAGCAGATGAACCAGGCTGGGACTGCTGGTCTGCCCGCTACCATAACCCCAGTACCACCCCTGTGAGCAGTAGCCCCAGGACAATCCTGGAGGTCCCAGGGAGAGCAGACTGTGGGGCCTGCAATAGTTCCCAACCTCCAGGGAACTGAAGCCACCCGAGTCTAACCCATAACTGTAAACACATTTCAATGGGACAAGACATTGCTTAGACACATTTACTCTCCAGACCCCACCCCAGGTGGAAGCTGGCACAGCAGTGACCCCGCTAACCCTACCCTGGGGGCAACGGGGCTGCAGCATCCACAGGGATAGAAAACTCTGAGCAGGGCCGATACTTGTGCCAGATCAAGAAGCCCCCAGAGGCCCCACCCGGAAGTCCCCCAACCCTGTGGGTCAGGGCAAATGAAGGTGTAAAGAGGCACCTACACATGTCTCCAGAACCACTCACCTCCGCATACTTGGCTGGGATGTCGGCTTTCTCGACGCCGTAGTGATGTTTGCAGTTGGTGGCCGCGGCGACCTGCAGCACGACCTGGCCCACTCCTTCAGAGAGAGAAAGGGAGGCCGTCACAGACACACACCATGATGACAGTAGGCCCACGCCGAGGTCGGGCTTGGGCCAGGCAGGTGGTGGCCATGAGGGTCAACAGGCAGAAGTCCAGGGTTCTCCACAAAGGCAGCAGCGCTGTCCAAGGTGCTGAGGCCATGACCAGGGCCCCCACTATGGGACAGCTGTCACACTTTGGCACCCACAACTTGAGTCATTCTTGGTCTACGGGCAGACATGGCATGAATTGTCCAGACACAGACACGGCTCTGCAAGATGCAGTGATGCCTTGGGAAGCCTCCCTCCATCCCAAATCCACATCTGTTGGCACCACAGTGTGGCAGGGTCGACCAGATCTGACATCGCCTTGAGAGTACTGTCAATGTTGGTCATTGACTAAAGTTTGATGTGGGACTGCAGGTGGCAGGAGCCCCCCACAGAATAGAAATAGGGTCTCCAAACCACTGTTGCTGGCAGCATCTCTGTGCCACCCAACATGCAGGCCGAGCATGCCGACATTCCTCGGAATCCAAGCCCAGGAGGGAGGCAGGGTGTACCTGCACACAGACTGCAGGTACCAGCCAGCAAATCCTCCTCCTACATAAGGCCAGCTCTGCATTTCAAATAGTGTGTTAGGAGCCCATCGATTACCCATTTTGAATAGAACATATTCAAACAATAAAAATAAGCATATTGTTTGGGAACACAGGGTAAACGGAGGCCCATGGCCAGGGGTTGCCAGGGTCTCTGCCAGGGGCAGGGGAGAGGTAGTGAGAGCAGAGCACTAAAAGGCTGGTGGTTTTCAAAAACCATCACCCTTTCAATATAGAGAGATAAGTTACACAGCCTTTCAGATAAGTGGTTTTTGAACCCCATGTGTTCTAATTAAAATATGAATTCTGCGGGCTGGCCGAGTGGCTCAGTTGATTAAGAGCACGTTGATTAAGACCCTGAGCAACAGGATCGCTGGTTCAATTCCCACATGGGCCAGCGAGCTGTGCCTGAGCTGAGCTGCTGCTGAGCTGCCAACAGGTGGCAGAATGGCTCAGCTGGTGAGAACACATGCTCCTAACAACAAGGTTGCCAGTTCGACTCCATAGTGGGCTATGCCTACCAGCAACTAAGATTGAACATGGCACCTTGAAATAGGCTGCCCTGAGCTGCCCACGGGTGGCCGGACTGCCCAGTGATTAGAGCTTGTGCTCTTAGTAACAAGGTTTCTGGTTTGACTCTAGCATGGGATGATGGGCTATGCCCCCACCCACTCCCAGCCCCAACTAAGATTGAACACAGCACCTTGAGCTGAGCGGCTGCATGGTGATGACTTGGGAGCTGAGCTAGCTGCGCCCTCCACAAATAAGATTGAAGGACAACAACTTGGCTGTTCCCCTTCCCTAATTCCCCAATAAAATCTTTAATAAAAAAAATATGAATTCTGTGCTTAGTAAGGGCTTAAATTAAGGATGAGGCCACCAAAGAAGTCTTCTTGTCCCTGAGCGGTGAGGCCATTCGTGCCTGTTGGAGACAGGACTTTTGAGTCTGAAAGCACAAGGTTCTCATGTGGAAACAAGGTCACGTGGGGACAGCAAAGATGCCCCACAGGAGGGCCATGCTCAGGTTCCCAGTGGAAAAGTCGGGTGTTTGACAGGCAGCCATGTAATCAGCCCTGTCACCCCGATCAGGCCATCCTATCAGGAATCAGTCAGCCCTATGTTTACTCATTCTAGAAAGCTTATCTCACAGGCACCCGCCACGCCCCCATGGATGTCCTGCTAAAACAGGCCCTGCCCCCAGGAGCCTCCACTCTGGTGCTGGAGGATGTCCCATAACAAAGAGGTGGGGGCTGGAGAGTTTGGGGACCCCCTGGCTTTGAGAAGCAGGAGAGCAGAGGTTTGGCTGAGGCTTATTAGGATGGAGCTATTTCCTCCATGTCTGCAGGAGCCAGAGGCTCTGTGAGCAGGAAGGGCTGGGGGAGGGGGTGGTGCTCACAGGGGCTGGCGGGCAGGATGAAACCCACCCCTGGGCTTTTCTCAGAGATGGCGCAGTGGGACAGAGAGCACGGCCCTGTGGCCGCCTGCCCCACACTCACCACTGCCCAGGTCCACAAACAGGTCATCCTCGGTCATCTTGATCTCGTCAATCATTTGTGCGACCAGGTCAAAGGAGGTCTCCCCATACACCTCAGGGGAGAAAGGCTCATAGTTGTTGAGCTTCTCGGGGTCCGTCACTGAATGGTTGTAGACCTGTTGCAGGATGTGCCGCAGGAGCCCATTGGACGGCCGCGTGTTCAGCTTCATGGGTTGCGTGGTGCCCTTCCACTGTGGACATCAAGGAAGCACCAGGAGGTGTCACACAGGGGACAGGGCACCCTGAGACCCTCATACCCCAACACCTAGTTATGGCTCCCCACTGAATAAAGAGTGTGGAAATATACGTGAGTGTGTCTGTGTACATGTGTGTGCAAGCATGTATACATGTCTGTATACATGTGCATATACACGAGACTGTGTATGTGTGTGTGTGCGCGAGTGTGTGTACACATGAATGTATCTGTGTAGTGTGTGAGCATTTGTATACTGGTATGTGTATATGTGTGTGTGTGAGCCTGTGTGATGTCTGTGAGTATGGGTGTGAGTGTGCATGGGTGTGAGTGCTGGTGAGCAGCGAGGCCCACAGGGCACACGATGCTCACCACCCAGGCCCTGTCGGCAGTACCACCTCACCAGACAATGCCCCTTTCACCCCAGAACCCGGACTCAGAACAACCACCATCCTGAAAACCTATCCAGGAGAAGAAATGGGCCCAGAGCTGCAGAGAAAGCAGTGCTCCTGGGCCTCCCCGCCTTGGGATCAGGTGACGTGAAGGGCAGCGGGGTCTAGAACCACAGTACGGGTCCCAGGTGAGGAGACAGGCCTGAGGGGAGGATGAGGCTGCCTACCAGCTGGTGGATGCTGTCGATGGCCCGGTTGTACTTGTCACAGAGCCTCTGCATGCTTTCAAAGCTGAAAAAGGCAAGGGGAAGGCTCTGGTCACTGCCCAGCTCAGAAGAGGCCACCAGGAGGGGATGGCACATGGACAGGTGGCATGGGGTCGGGCAGAGTGTAGAGCCCACCGAGTGAGAGGGCAGAGATCACAGGGCACCAAGGAGTACCCCACATGGGCCACAAGGTTAAGCCAAGAGTTTTGGGCTAAGGTGGTCATGGCTATGAGGCTGTATCGTGTGCTCACAGGCCAAACCTGAGGTTCACGGTGTGTTCAGAGGCCTTAGGTCAGAAAAGGGGTTTGCACAGCCATTCCTGGAGTGCCCCAGGTGGGCAAGACCCAGACAAGGCCCCCACTCCCCACCAAGCCAGGTGGGCTCGCAGGCCTGCCCTCCCCTGGCTGGTCCTGCAGGCTTCCTGCACTGGCCTGACTCGGACAAGTGCCAAGGGCACCAGCCTGTCCTATCAGGCAGAAAGGGCACCTGGCACTGCTGGACCACGCCCAACACCCCAACTCTGCAGAAAGGAGGGGCAACACCTCCCCGCTTCACGCTGGCATTACTTCTGTTTGTTAAATCTATTTTTTTTTAAGATTTTTATTGGGGAATTGGGGGATGGGAACAGCGCTGGGGAATTGGGGGAAGGGGAACAGACAAGTTGCTGTCTTTTTGTTCTTTAGTCTAGTTGTGGAGGACGTTGCTTCACTGGCCCAAGTTGGCACCATCATTGCGCTCTTCCCAAGTGAGGCAGATCAGTTGCCGGCTTCTGGACGGCCGCTCACGCTGGCTGCTGGCTACACACGGTAGCCCATGGCAACCCAATGTAGCAGGGGATGCAGCCTAGCCGTAACCTCACGGCAACCCAGCTCCAGGTCGAGCTGCTGTTCAGCATCTTAGCTGTAGAGGGCAGTGTCACTGGCCCTCATATGTGGGATCCAAACCAGGGCCCTCTGGCGTCCCAAGCCAGCTCTTAACCAACGCGCCACTCAGCCAGCCCAGCTAAATCTTTTTACGAGTTTCCGAGACTTTAAAAAATACAAGCAGCATGTGTTAGATACCTAATGAAAGAGTCTGGGGAGTTTTTAAAAAACTAAATTCTCCCAAGCATGGTCAATTTTATTTCAGCTGTTACTTTTCCATGGAATCTCCTAACCCAGAGCTTCTCACCTGGGATAATCCTGCCCCCAGGGGACGCTGGGCATGTCTAGGGACATCAGTGGTTGTCACAATCGGGGGGTGCTCCTGGCATCAAGTGAGTGGGGGCCAGACAGTGACCTGGCCTGAATGTCCACAGTGGTGGGAGGGACCTGCATCAAGTGTCTGTTCTGTGCAAAGGGAGCGTCTGTGGGGTCTCTCTCTACACCACCTACAAGCACAGAAGGAAGACACTTCCTCCCTGGGGCATGCTCGGGGACACCGACTGGATCACAGCACACAGGGCCCCCAGTCCTCACCTGAGTTTTCGCTTCTGTCCAGGTTTACTCTGAGTTTATGGGCACTTTCCTTTCTAACAGAAGTAATGGATTCAAGTAAGACCAGCACCCACTTGACAAGGTCACAACTTCCTTGGGTGGCAGGTGCAGTTGAAAAAGCTAGAGGGTTCAAGGATGGGAGATAGCAGCCACCACCAAAGCCCGTTGAGTTCTCACAAAGGACAGCAACAGTGACCAGAAACAACATGAGAAGGCTGATGTGATGAATCAGAAACCCAGGAGACACAAGGCCAGCACATTCCGGAGGACTAACTCCATACACAGGCTGGGGGAGGTGACAAGGGGTACAAGAGAGCTGCAGGCTCACAGAGGACACAGGCCTTCCCTGCTGTCGAGCCCTATGTGTCTACCTTGCAGGCGGGAGGATGAGTCAAAGTTTCTGAGGCTGCAGAGAAAAGCCACTGCAAACTAGTCACTACTCTGCATTTTATTTCCTGTGCTCCCACTTTTACATTGACCCTCCAACCCAACCACAGTGACACTCACAGCCACCAGCCAGCCCTGGGAGGCGTCCTCCTGCAGGACTGAGCAAGGCGGGAGCTCAAAGCACCCAGGCAACCAGGGTCCTTGCACCCTGGTCCCCAACAGGGTTCCACCCCGACAGACCGAGCTCGGCCCCCAGGCTGGCCCTGCCGTCCCCTTGAGAGAGTAACAGTCCCCACGGTGCGTCTGACCCAGAGGTCACACCAGTCCCTTGGGGGACGCCATCAGACTGACCTCACTGCCCTCTCCCAGCCTCTGACATCCTTCCAGTCTTTTCTAAGCTAATGTGAACTTGGAGGGAACACCACCAAACACCCACCACAGCGTCTTGTCACAAAAGTGCCTCTAAAACCTGTGGCTGCTTGCAGGCCCCACATGCAGCGGTCACCCGGTACTAAAGGTGTGCTTCACTGACCACACGACACAGGCATCCTCACCCCTTGGGGCAAGAGGACTTTGCCGCAGGGTCCTCAGCGTGTGGTGTCCTGCATGAGGAAAGCAAGGTCCCTCCTTTCTACAACAGGTAATGATTACTACATGGGGAGGAGGGCGGGGAGGGAGGAGGACAGGATCAGGAGCTGACTGAGGCGAGAAACGCTGACCTGCAGACCAAAGTCCCCAAACCCAAAAGTGATATCAAGTCAGGAATGCCTGGGTGCAGGTCCTGTGTGTGGAGCTCCGGGCTTCTCCGAGCAGTGTTCTTTGTAAAGATCAGCTCTCTACACCCACAGACAACACCACCGCCTTCGGGGGAATGCATTCCAATTTCAAGCCTGCCAAGAGCTAAAACAGGCATGAGCCTGGAATGTTGTCCTTTATTCTCAAAGAAAAACAAAAAAATTCCAGGCGGGCATTCCAGAGATGGCCTCGCCCATCTCCACCCACAGGACTCTTCCGAGATCAGAATGTGCCTGCAGGAAACTGCTGGACTCGGCCAAAGGGCTGGCCACACAGTGTGACCGGGAACAGGGCTGGCGGGCCTGGGGCTCCGGAGACCAGGCCAGCGGACTCCTGGGTGAAGGAGAGGGGCGGGGGTGGTGGGAGGCTGGCTGCTAGAGTCGCCTGCTGTGAAAACCATGGGTAATTTCACACAGACCAACTCTAGTTTCCACAATGTGGCGTTCTCAATTAGATCCTTACTCTGACAACCTCTGCCAATATTTGATACACATTTCCTACCAAAATAACTGCACAGAGGCTACAGCCAACTCTGAAAGGAAATTTCAGATCAGCTTGCACTGTTGAAGAACTAATTACAGGCTGTCCCCAACAGCACTGAGCCTGTCCCCAGTGGGGAAGCCACTCAAGCAGAAGCCCACTTACCTTTTGGTGTCGTAGTCGATTAGGACGTAATTCTCCATAGCGAGCTTGAGGTCTGGGATTTCCTCACAGACCCATCTGAAATCCAAAAGCAGAAACGACAATGAGGATGATTGTTCAGGCTCAATGTTTCACCCTCAACTTTCTTTCTTTCTTCTTTTTTTAAAAAATTTTATTGGGGAATTGGGGGAGGGAAACAGACAAGTTGCTGTCCTTTTGTTCTTCAGTCTAGTTGTGGAGGAAGTCGCTTCACTAGCCCATGTTGGTGTTATCATTGTACTCTTCCCGGCTGAGGCAGTCGCTCACCGGCCATTGGACGGTTGCTCATGGCGGCTCACGGCAGCTCACGAGAAAGCTCACGCTTGCTGCTGGCCAGCCCCACTGCAGCCTATGCCATCGCCGGAAACTCACGGCAGCCCAGCTCCAGGTTGAGCTGTTGTTCACCATCTTAGCTGTAGAGGGCGCAGTGTCACTGGCCCTCATGTGGGATCCGAACCGGGGCCCTGCTGCTCAGAGCTGGCGTTCCAAGCCAACTCCTAACCAACATGCGACTTGGCCAGCCCTCCCCTCAACTTTCTTAAACACCGTTTACTCCCAAATATAAAAAGAAAACATTCTCATTACTCAAGTCACAATGTAAAAGAGAAGGGAGGCACTGCTTAAAAATAAATGCTGTCAAGTTTACGATGAAGTAGTTGTGAATTACACAAATTTTATGCAGCTTCAAGTTCAAATAACGTTGGCTTGGGGACTGCGTGGATTTACATGTTTACGGGGTGGAGGAAACCAGTCAGCTCAAACCAGGGAGGCTGAAAAGCACCATATCAACTAGAAACGAAAGATAATTATTATTGAAGAATTAACTAACCCATGACAATGGGGTTGCTTCAACAGACACATGGCAAGAAAAAAGGAGATGGAAGGAGAGCCTACAGATTAAAAGAGACAGAAAAATACATCAGCCAATCCCAAGGCATAACCCTTATTGGATCCTGATACAATTTTGAAAAAAATCATGAAAGCGGAGTCATCACTATAGATCATACAGAAAATAAAAGGCAAAAGATGAAAATTGCGTACCAAGGAATTCAACTACTTAGATGAAATCAACAAGTTCCTTGAAAGACACCAATTACCAAACTGACAGGGGAAGAAATAGCCCTCTCCCTGTCAAAGAACTTGATTTCCTAATCCAATACTTTCCTAAAGAGAAAATGCCAGGCCCAGGTGGCTTCATTGGTGAACCCTACCAGACATTTGAGAGGAAATAACACCAATCTCGCCAAAATGTTTCTAGTTTTACGAGGCCAATGTTACCCTGATTCCAAAACCGGAGAAAGACAAAGCCTTGTAAAGAAGGAAATCTGCAGACCAGTATTCCTTGTGCACAGATACAAAAATCCTTCAAAAATAGCAGTCGAACAAAATCAGCAACATACCTCAAAAAAGTGGGGTTTATCCCAGAAACAAAGTGCTGTTTAAGACTAAAATTCATCACTGCAATTCACCTCAGTAACAGAATAAAGGAGAAAAAAAATATTACAGTCATCTCAACAGATGCAGGCGTGTACATGACAAAATTCAATCCCTATTCATGATGAAACTCAGGAAACTAGAAATGGGGAGAGCCGTCCTCACCCCAATAAAGGGTGCCGGGCCAGGCGTGGAGCTGCTGTCCCTTAGTCTGAAACCCACGCCACTCTGTTTTGCCTGCTGGCTCTGTGCTGGGCTCCACCAAAGGGTACAAGGGGACCGTACAGGAGGAAGGAATGGCTCTCTGTCCCTGGGTCCCTGTGTCATCTAGCAAGGCTCCCTCACCTTCTTATAACAACTGCTGAACCCAGTTAGCAGTTTTTTTCATCATGCCCTCCACCTCTGTGCCACCCCCCCCCCCCCGCACCCCCCAGCAACCACACTCCCGCCTCAGAGGTCTGGGTGCCCTACCCTCAAGACCCATCCAAACTCATGGTCACCAAGGGCCAGCTAGGCAGTCTATGTGTCACCTCCACTGTGCTCCCCAGATCTGAGGGTCCCTAAGTCACTGTCCCTGGGCTGCATTATTGCTCTCCTCCTTTGCTTATAGGTCGAACTCCTTTACTCCAAGTGAGCACCTCCAAGAGGATGAACAGGTGAGGATGCCTATGGGCTCCACATCCCTTCAACACTGTACTAAACAGAGTACTGTACAGAGCACTGTACTGGCCAGTGCACATGGCAAGAGGAAGGAATGGGCCGTGTTTACTGGAAAGGAAGAAGCAAACTATCTCTATTCACAGACACAGCTCAGTGCAGTCTATTGTAAGGAATTTACAGAGAAGCTTCTAGAACTTGAGCTGTGAATTCAGCAAGGTGGCAGGACACAGGTCAACATGCAAAAATGAGCTACATTAACATATAACAGCAACAAAGAGTTAAAAAATTTTTTTAATTCCACTTAAAATAGCATTAAAACATAAGCACTTAGGGTTCATTTCAATGAAAAATTTGCAAGACCTCTATAAAACACTGCTAAGAAAATTAAAGGCAACATAAACAACCTCTGTTCACGGGATAAAGGTTCAATGTTAAACCTTCTCCTCAAACTGAACTGCACACTTAAAGTCATCCGTATAAAAGTCCCAGCAGGCTTTTATAGAGAAACAGAAAAGCTGATTCTAAAATTGTCATACAAAGGCAGAGTACCTGGAACCACCACAACAGTCTTTAAAAGTAATAGCATGGTTGCAAGACTTGTACTTTCTTCTTTGGGGACTTACTGGGAATCTACAGTAACCAGGAGAGTGTGGTACTTGATGGAGGTAAACAAATGGGTCCAGACAGAGGCTAACATTTAAACAACTAATTTTCTTTTTTTTTTTTTAAGCTGAGCCATCCTGCTACCTATTGGCAGCTTAGCGGCAGCTCGGGCCGGGCATCGAACCGCTGTTGCTCAGAGCTCAAACTCTTGAGCGAGCTCTTAACCAACTGAGCCACTCGGCCGGCCCAAAACAACTAATTTTTGACAAAAGCACCAAGGCAACTTGATGGGGAAAGGAGCCTTTTCAACAAATGAGGCTGGAATGGCTGAGTATCGGATGGAAAATAAATAAATAAATAAATTTTGACCCCCATAATCATAAACCCCTATTTGACATAAACCAAAATTAATTCACAATTTTTTATCTTAAACCTGAACATAAAAGCTAAAACCACACACAGAGTTTCTTAAAGAAAATGAAAGAGAGTATCTTTGCAACTCGGGGAGGCAAAGATTTCCTGGATGCGACCCAGGCGATTAACCATCAAAGAATGAAGTGAGTTGGAAACTCCCACTCACCAAGGTGCCGTGCAAACCACAAGCAGCTAGCACGATGATGATGCCTCCCAGGGCGCCAGGCCCGCACTGGCTCCCAGAGAATGGATTCTCATAGCCCAGCCTTAAGAAGCAGCTCTATTCTTCACAGAGCTCCCTGGAGAAGTGGCTGTGGGAAATCAAGATGATGGTGGAGCATCCTATGGTTCCAGAAAGTGAGGCTGAGCTCCAAACAGGCAGGGGTAAGTCAGAGGGACTCGGGACAAATTGGAAGGACTCCCAGTGGGCAACCAGAAGTCGGAAACAGCTAAAACATGTCCATCACAGGGCAGACCAGAGAAGGAGCTGTGGTCCCTCCCACAGCAGCACACACCTGAGTGATAAGAAGGAAACCACCAGTGCACACAACGGGAACCTCAACGCCATGTGCTCAGCACGTGCTGTACGATCTGAAGTGGAAACAATTCTAAGAAATGCAGTGACTGCAGTGCCAGGGAGCAGGCTGGGGGTAACCAGGCAGCTGGGCGGGAGCATAGGAGACCTGGACCACAGGGGACAGAAGAAGCATGGGGAAGGGGTGTCTGTTGCCGTAGTGTTCTGTGTACACAGGCGCACAGCCATGCCGCTTAGACTGTGCACCTCACACGCATGCAGTTCTGGGCCTCAGCTGCACTTTAAAAAGTGCTGACATGGGCAAGAAGGACATGGAGGGGGCACAGATGAAGCAGGAGCGGCCGTGAGCTGGTGACTTTTGGGCTGGGTGATGGATCTGTGGGCTCATGACACCCTTGACTAGCTCTGTGCATATTGGAAATTCTCCATTATGAAAAGAAGAAAAGAAAGCACAGAGAGAGGTAACTGCCAGTCTTTACCAATGAACAGAACTCGTGTGGGGACAAAAGGGAAGAAGGTGAAGTTGTTCTGAGACCAGGAAATGAGGTGCAGCCACTGCCACCCTGGGAGAGGACCAGGCCAAGTGGGGATCCCAAACAAAGGGCCAGCTTGACAGCTGCAAAGTGGCCCTGACCCCCGCACTGCAGGACAAGCACCCCACTTCACAGAGGAGAACCCTGTGGAGAGGTTGACTGCATAGAGCACACCCAGAACCAAGCTGCCTGCTCAGAGTCCTGCCTCTCAACCGCGACACTCCCACCAGCTATCCAATAGCTTCTTGAAAAACAAACAAATCAGGGCTGGCCAAGTGGCGCGTTGGTTAAGAGCTGGCTTGGGACACCAGCTCTGAGCAGCACGGCCCCATTTCAGATCCCACATGGGGGCCAGTGACACTGCCCTCTACAGCTAAGATGGTGAACAACAGCTCAACCTGGAGCTGGGCAGCCATGAGTTGCTGGCAACGGCATAGGCTGTAGCCCCTGCTGCAGTAGGCTGCCATAAGCTACCGTGTGTGGCTGGCAGCCAGCGTGAGCGGCTGGCAGCCGATGTGAGCTGCCAATAGCCGCCATGAGCGGCCGTCCAGAGGCCGGCGACTGATCTGCCTCACCTGGGAAGAGCGCAATGATAATACCAACATGGGCCAGTGAAGCGACGTCCTCCACAACTAGACTGAAGAACAAAATGACAGTAACTGTCTGTTCCCCTCCCCCCAATTCCCCAGCGCTGTTCTCCTCCCCCAATTCTCCAATAAAATTTAAAAAAAAAAAAGAAAGTTCCCTGGGAATACTACTAGAAATCCAGGGCTGGAATCCCAGTCCTGCTATTAAAAAAAAAAAAACAAAACAACCCAAACAAATCAAACTAAGCAACCAGTAACACTGTTCCACCAACTGAATGGTTTATAAATTCTACCAGAAAAAAAGTAAATCCCCAAATCTCAACACCATGCCAGGACAGGCCCATCCTGCAAGAGTTACACAGTCATCCCACTTAATCCTCGAAATGATCTGCGAGGAAGCCCTGCTCAGCCTCAGGAGCAAAGCACAGTAGCCTGGGGAACTGCAGGGCTGTGTTAGGTCACCAGGTCCCAGGCAGCAGGGTGAGGATGCCTGTCCTGGTTCCTTCACAGGAACCACAGCCAGCAGCTGCAGGCTTGTGTGGGTGTCACGGTGTGTGGCCCGCGTGGTGGCTACATGGTTAAGGATTTTAAGAGACTGCACAGCAAGATGCCAGGGTCACGTACACACGCAGGTTTACTGCAGGAACTGAGAACGGGTTTTCCCACCACAGAATACATGACGAGCAGCCACTGGTGGCACTCGAGGTCAATCCAGACCCTCAATTCAGCACAAGGAAGAATTCTGCTGGTCAGGGTGGAGGGCGTCTACCTCCTGCTCAGTCAAGGTCGTCAGCTGACACTCTGCGCTGGTCCCTGCACACTTAAGACAGGAGCAGACAGGCGGAGGGAGACCAGCCCACCCAGGGGCCATGGCTGAATTAGTAACAACTCCAACGGGGAGACAGACCAGAGGAGGAAAGAGTAAAACAAGGGGAAGAAAGGGGTTTCCCTTGCGAATCCTGCCAGCTCAGGTGTGCATCTCCTTTCAGGGGAAGCCAAACTCAGAGACCTTCATCCAGGCCACAACCAGGCGATCTGGACTGCTCTGGCCAAGTTCTCACACCACTTCTCAAGTCTTCTCGAGATGCTGACGTGGAGCACAAGAGGGACTTGGATGGGAGGGCGCTAGGAAGACAAGGAACGGGCTGTGCCTCACTCACCGGATGGTCTCAATGATTTCATGAGCAGCATCATGGTGTTTGTCCTGAAAGACAAAGGGACAGGTTTAGAGAAGACGGAGCAGTGTCAGTGATGGCAGGTTGGCCATTTCAGGGCCCTGAGACCAGAGGAGACAGGCACTGCAACCCCGGGCCTTTCCATCTCTGATTTCCTGACCCACAGAGCTCCCAACCTCCCCAGCCCCCAGCCCAGGTAGGACCTACCAGAGAGCCCTGCGAGCGCGGTAGCACTGGGATGCCATCCTGGGGGCCCTGCCCATGTGGGACATTCTGGCCTAGGGAAGGGCCTGTTCCCAGTGCTCCCTCCCCAGCGGGCAGTGGGGAAGGGGCCGGGCAGAGTCTATGCCCCACCCTCCTCTCCCCAACCCACCGGTGCCCACTGGCACTTCTCCCGGTGCTCCTGAGGCCTGGATGCCACAGGCCTGGCTTTGAGTTATGAACCTCTCGGGTCTCCATTTCCTCATCTATTAAATGGCAAACACCAGTAACAACCACCAGGAGACAATGTGGCTGTCCTCCTGTGGATGCAGCGATATCCCATCTCCATGGCTGATCACGCTGCTAGGCCAGCCCCGCACCCACTGCGTGGCATCTTCCTTAAAAGGAAGCTCAGGGGTTGCTCCAGGCCTTTGACTGGGGTCTCTGCAGCCAGCTAACGCAAACCTCACAGAAATCAGGATTAGGACACACCCCTCTGACTGGGTCCTTCTCTAGCACAAGGAGATGGTGAGGGTTAGTACAGCAGTGAGAGCAGGGGGTCAGTGAAGAGGATGGGCTCAGAGGGAGAGGCCCCCCAATGGCTGCTCTGTGACAGTGATGATGCTCTTAGCCTAGGCCACCACTTCCACCACTTTACAACAGAAGGAAAGTGTCTGCGCGGGCAGGGTCCTGCAACAGTGCCTTGCATGTTCCAGCGCTCAAAACAGTATGGAAACAACTCCTTACATACCCTTGCGTCCTAAGTCTCACTTTTAAACAACAGCTCTATTGAGACAGAATTCATACAGAAGAGAGCTCACCTGTTTCAAGTACACAAGTCAGTGGTTTCAAGTACACAACCACTGCACTAATTCCAAAATGTTCCATCACCCCAAAAAGAAGTCCTGCCCCCATCAGCTGTCACTCCTTATCCCCCTCCCAGTCCCAGGCAACCACTAACCCACTTCCTGTCTGTGGATTTGCCTGTACTGGATAGTTCATGTAAATGGGATCACACACCATGTGGCCTTTTATGCAAAGCCTTCTTTTTTAAGGCAAAGGAAAAACCAGCCTTCTAGTGTTCTTAATAATGTCTTCCAATTTACTAAGGATCGAGCAACAAATACTAGTTGAACTCCTATAATTCAGCCAAGGTGGAGGAAAGATGAGAATATACATCTACACACAAACTCGGACGTGAGAGTTCACAGCAGCATGATTCACAATCACCAGAGTGCAACACAGCTGCACTCCCACACACACACACACACACCATGCCATGGACCCCGCAAGCCATAGCCTCCACCAGGCCAGGGCTCACCCCGCCCTCCACAGCTGGCTGCCCCCAGGCCATGGCCACTACCACATCAAAGCTGGCCCTCACTGCAGTAATTTTCTTGGCCCAAAGCATGCAGGCCTGGAAAGGCTCAGGTGCCTGGACTTTGGTCTCATCTGTATTGGGAAGAACTTGTGCTTTCCCAGCTTTAAAACCAAAACAAAGGGAGAAAGAAGTTGACAACTGTGCCTCCTGAGGTGTCAGAGTGATCTTTCCAGGGATGGGCCAGTTTCCAGCCACAATCCTGAGAGGTACAACTTAAGAAGCCCTGGTCACCATCAATGAGTCAGAAGCTCTCGTGACCTCTTGGCTGTGGCTTCTTACTGCTCCACAGACCTTCGCAAGAGAGAGATAAGCACACCAGGAAAGGTCAGACTGGTAACAACCCCAGTTAACCCTGGATTTAAGGCCAAGCCCTCGTCTCCTTACACAGGGACACCCCCACGCCGCCTCCTTCACAGTCCGAGTCCCCAGCCCCGCACTGACCCACAGCAGAAAGTCCTGCTTGCTGCATCCGAAACTAATCCATGCTCTGGTCACTACTTGTACCAGGGCACCCAAAAGCAGCAGCTGAGAGAGGTTCTCCCCATCAAAATCTATCTGACAGAACCCTGGCAGCTGGGAAGCGGGGTGGTGGATACCCAGATTTCACCAGGTCCCCCACTTTGGGGATCATGTGAAAATGTCCACAGTTAAGTGCAACTGTTCCACCTTAAACCACACACTGCACAGGAGGCAGTCACACGCCCTGATATGACACCAAACTGTCCCTTCTGGTACTATTCGCCTTCGAAACTCAGATGGGGGTGTCAGGCCCATGGCTTGGTCGTCCAGACGCTGCCCTTCATGTACTCAGTGAGGTTGCATGTAGAGGGGGCGCACCTATAGAGGAAGGGAGGGTGGGGGTGGGGAGCCTGGCTGTCATGCTCAGCAGGTGTCTGGCTTCCTCCATCACTAGAAGGACAAACCAGCTTGTCCCTCCATCTCCCCTGAGGAGTTTGGTCAGGAGGCTCTCTTAGATGTCCATTGAGGGCACAAGCCCCCTGTTCTAAGCATTTATACCCTATTCATTCTGAGTCCGCACGACTTCAGGAGTGTGTGTGCTCAGTGTACAAGGGCAGGCGAAAGGCAGAGACAAGAGATCAATGGAGCCTGTGGTGAGCACTACAGATGCACTGCTGCAGGAAATCCACTATCAACTCCCCTCTCCTCACTGCCACTGGCAACAAGAAAATGACATGCAGGGGCTGCCATAGGCCCGTGATGTCACTCACAGCTGGCTCCCAGGATCCTCCAAGGTAGGGTCTTCACACAGTGACAAGCATCAGATTCATTGCAGGGCTTGTGAGAGAGGATGCCTGTGGCCCACCCATAAAGTGTCAGGCTCAGCAGGTCTGGGGGCCCAGAACCTGCATTTCCTAACAAGTTCCCAGGGACTCACTCTGATGGGCAGAAGCTCACGCTGGCAGGTGAGAGAAGTGTCTCCCTTATGTCCTTGGGGAAGTGAGGATAACTGTAAACATCTTGACTCTGTCCTCTCTGGCTCCCTAGTGGGCTGCAGGGAGTGTCCTGCAGTGAGGTTGCCTGCTCCCCGATCCTGTAGGCACTGCCTTCTTCCCTGGTGGCTCCACTCAACTCTGGAGCCCTGGGGTGGGTGTGCCAGGCTGCTTCCATCACACACGTCCCCGCAGCTAAAGCAAGTTAAACAAAATGGCTCCTGGTGCAGACCATGTGGACTCAGGACAGGTCGTCGTTGGCTGTCACACGAGTGGCCACTGGGCAAGAGGCCCACTCATAGGCGGTACATGGACACAGTGGGACCAGCTGGGCTGGGGCAAGCACAGGGGCAGATGAACACTGTGATGTGGGGATCACAGTGGACAGGAAATGTGATGTGTGAACAGCTTTAAAGCGTGAAAACAACAAATGGGGGAGATGAGATGTCAAAAATGGGGTGACGACTCGTGGCAGCCAACCTATCTGGTTGTTTGTTTTGTTTTTTTAAAGATTTTTTATTGGGGAATTGGGGAAGGGGAACAGCCAAGTTGTCCTTCAATCTTAGTTGTGGAGGGCACAAGTCGCCATTTGGCCGCCCATTGGCAGCTCGTGGCTGCTCAGCTCAAGGTGCTGGGTTCAATCTTAGTTGCTTGTGGGCGTAGCCACCATTCCATGTGGAAGTCGAACAGGCAACTTTGCTGTTAGGAGCACGTGCTCTCACCAGCTGAGCCATCCTGCCACCTGTTGGCAACTCAGCAGCAGCTCAGCTTGGGCGCAGCTCACTGGCCCATGTGGAAATCAAACCAGTGACCATGTTGCTCAGAGCTCGCGCTCTTAACCAACTGAGCCACTCAGCCAGCCCATCTGTCTCTGACTGTTTAATGGCAGGGCTTTGGTAAGCAGATCTGGCTGGAGGAGCAAGACGGGAGGTGGTGCAAACTCAATGGGTGTCTAGAGGATCCAGGTCCCGAGGAAAGCCAGAGAGTGGGGCCCGCCCATAGATGCCTGCCCCACAGGGCCCTCATCTTCACCAGCCTGAGCCTTGAGTACTGTCCTCCAGCCCCGGGAGTGTGGGCACCCCAGAGCAGAGCTGCAGGATCATGGATTAGGCTAAGCACCTTTGCTGGGCCTGAGGCCCTCTGCTCTCTGGTGGGAGCACAAGCAATTAGTTAATGGTTTAGTCTATTCTTTATACGGCCAACTCAAGTAGGGATCACAACACCACCTTAACTAGTTCAAAATAAACAGAAACCCAAAAAAGGAGGCTACATGTCCAAATAAACAAACAGCAAAAACCAACTGGAAGACGGCCAGGGCAAGGGAGGGGCGGGCAGACAGCAGGTACTGATGGGACATAGGGTGGTCAGTGAGGGGTCAAGTGTGTGGGATGAGAGGCCTGGCTGCTCCGGCACCCGAGCAAAGATGGTGGGTCATACAGGCTGACAGTGGCGAGAGAAGAGGCAGATTTGTGGGGCAAGGGACAAGAGAAAGACACAGGTGCCTTGTTCAAAAATGGCTAGCAAGTTCAAGACAGCAACCACAGAGCACTGACCGAGCGTAGCCCTTCTGCATGGAGGTTTGCAGGCATGACAGGCTAGAGTTTGAATCCAATGATGCTGCTTCTAGAAACGGGACCTCAGACAGGTCACACAGCCCCAGTGCATGGCTCTGTCATCTATACACTAAATGCTGTGGGGACACATCTGTGCTGCAAAGCCCTCCTGTCAGACCTTGGCTCTCACATACCCACCTGGGGAGAGATCTGCCCAGTGGAGACGATCCCTCGGCTCACAGCGCCTGTGTCCACACAGTAACAGATACCAGGGCTCAGAGCCTGCTGTCCCAGACAGGGGGCAGCCCAGGACAGAAGCGACAGTGAGGAAAGACAATCGATTACAGTGAACGCACTCCCAGAAGCTGCAGAAAAAGTCAAGGTTACCCATTCACTGCTTCTGAGCTCACCAGATTTAAGAACTATGCTTACATGGCCCCCCA